CTTACCCTACCTCTCTTCTATCTACCCCGCCTCTCCTACTTCTACCACACCTCTCGTCCATCCACCCTACCTATCCTACATCCACCCTGCCCTACCTACATCCACCCTACCTCTCCTCTATCCATCCTACCTCTACTCTATCCACCCTACCCTCCTACATCCACCCTACCCCTCCTCCCCCACCCTACCTCTCCTCTATCCACCCCACCTCTACAACCCTTCCATCCTACCTCTCCACCCTACCTCTCCTGCATCCACCCTACCCTCTCCTCCATCCACCCTACCTATCCTCCATCCACCCTACCCCACCTACATCCCCCCTACCCCTCCTCCATCCACCCTACCCCTCCCCCATCCACCCTACCCCTCCTACATCCACCTTACCCCTCCTCCATCAAACCCCACCTCTCGTTCATCCACCCTACCTATCCTACATCCACCCTGCCCCACCTACTTCCACCCTATCTCTCCTACATCCACCCTGCCCCTCCTACATTCACCCTGCCTCTCCTACATCCACCCTACCTCTCCTACATCTACCCTGCCCCTCCTACATCCACCCTGCCCCTCCTACATTCACCCTGCCTCTCCTACATCCACCCTACCTCTCCTACATCCACCCTGCCCCTCCTACATCCACCCTGCCTCTCCTACATCCACCCTACCTCTCCTACATCCACCCTGCCCCACCTACATCCACCCTACCCCTCCTACATCCACCCTACCTCTCCTACATCCACCACACCTCTTCTTCATCCACCCTACCTCTCCTCAATCCACCCTACCTCTCCCCATCCACCCTACCTCTCCTCCATCCACCCTACCTCTCCTCCATCCACCCTGCCTCTCCTCCATCCACCCTACCTCTCCTCCATCCACCCTACCCCTCCTACATCCACCCTACCTCTCCACCCTACCTCTCCTGCATCCACCCTACCCCTCCTCCGTCCACCCTACCTCTCCTCCATCCACCCTACCCCTCTACATCCACCCTACCCCTTCTTCATCCACCCTACCTCTCCTCAATCCACCCTACCTCTCCTCCATCCACCCTACCTCTCCTCCATCCACCCTACCCCTCCTACATCCACCCTACCTCTTCTTCATCCACCCTACCTCTCCTCAATCCACCCTACCTCTCCTGCATCAACCCTACCTCTCCTCCATCCAACCTACCTCTCCTCTATCCACCCTACCCTTCCCCCATTCACCCTACCTCTCCTACTTCCACCCTGCCCCTCCTACATCCACCCTACCTCTCCCCCATCCACCCTACCTCTCCTCCACCCACCTTACCTCTCCTCCATCCACCCTGCCTCTCCTCCATCTACCCTACCCCTCCTACATCCTCCTTACCTCTCCACCCTACCTCTCCTGCATCCACCCTACCCCTCCTCCGTCCACCCTACCTCTCCTCCATCCACCCTACCTCTCCTCCATCCAACCTACCTCTCCTCTATCCACCCTACCCTTCCCCCATCCACCCTATCCCTCCTACGTCCACCTTACCCCTCCTCCATCCACCTTACCTCTCCTCCATCCATCCTACCCCTCCTACATCCACCATGTCCCTCCTTCATCCACCCTACCTCTCCTCCATCCACCCTACCCCTCCTACATCCACCCTACCCCTCCTCCATCCACCCCACCTCTCGTCCATCCACCCTACCCCTCCTCCTTCCACCTTACCTCTCCTACGTCCACCCTACCCTACCTCTCCTCCATCCACCCTACCTCTACTACTCCTCCACCCTACCTCTCCTCCATCAACTCTACCTCTCCTCCATCCCCCTACCTCTCCTCCATCCCCCCACCTCTCCTCATCTACCCCACCTCTACTACCCTTCCACCCTACCTCTCCACCCTACCTCTCCTGCATCCACCCTACCACTCCTCCCTCCCCCTACCTCTCCTCCATCCACTCTACCCCTCCTACGTCCACTCTACCTCTCCTCCATCCACCCTTCCTATCCTCCATCAAACTACCTCTCCTCTATCCACCCTACCCTCTTCCCATCCACCCTCCCCCTCCTACATCCACCTTACCCCTCCTCCTTCCACCTTACCTCTCATCCATCCACCCTACCTCTTCACTATCCATCCTACCTCTACTCTATCCACCCTACCCCTCCTACATCCACCCTACCCCTCCTCCTCCACCCTACCTCTCCTCTATCCACCCTACCTCTCCTTCATCCACCCTACCCCTCCTACATCCACCCTACCTCTCCTCCTACCACCCTACCTCTCCTTCATCCACCCTACCCCTCCTTTAGCCACCTTACCTCTCCTCCATCCACCCTACCTCTCCTCCATCCACTCTACCCCTCCTACGTCCACTCTACCTCTCCTCCATCCACCCTTCCTATCCTCCATCAAACTACCTCTCCTCTATCCACCCTACCCTCTTCCCATCCACCCTCCCCCTCCTACATCCACCTTACCCCTCCTCCTTCCACCTTACCTCTCATCCATCCACCCTACCTCTTCACTATCCATCCTACCTCTACTCTATCCACCCTACCCCTCCTACATCCACCCTACCCCTCCTCCTCCACCCTACCTCTCCTCTATCCACCCTACCTCTCCTTCATCCACCCTACCCCTCCTACATCCACCCTACCTCTCCTCCTACCACCCTACCTCTCCTTCATCCACCCTACCCCTCCTTTAGCCACCTTACCTCTCCTCCATCCACCCTACCTCTCCTTCATCCACCCTACCTCTTCTCCATCCACCCTACCCCTCCTACATCCACCCTACCTCTCCTCCTCCCATCCTACCTCTCCTCCATCCACCCTACCTCTCCTCCTCCCATCCTACCTCTCCTCCATCCACCCTACCTCTCCTCCATCCACCCTACCCCTCCTCTATCCACCCTACCTCTCCTCCATCTAACTCACCTCTCCTCCATTCACCCTACCCCTCCTTTATCCACCCTGCCCCTCCTACATCCACCCTTCCTCTCCTCCATCCACCCTTCCTCTCCTCCATCCACCCTTCCTCTCCTCCATCCACCCTTCCTCTTCTACATCCACCCTACCCCTCCTACATCCACCCTACCTCTCCTCCATCCACCCTACCTCTCCTCCGTCCACCATACTTCTCCTCTATCCACCCTACCTCTCCACCCTTAGCTCTCATTTGATCCTACCTTTCCTATCTCTACCACCCTTCCACCCTTCCACCCTACCTCTACCACCCCTCCACCCTTCCTCGACCACCCCTCCACCCTACCTCGACCACCCCTCCACCCTACCTATACCACCCCTCCACCCTACCTCCACCACCCCTCTACCCTACCTATACCATCCCTCCACCAACTACTACTGGTTTTACTCTGAAAATTAAAATTGACTTTCCAAAGAGGTCTAGGAGTTTAATTTCTCGTCATTTTCTCTCTTTCCTATCCACTTCCTTCTCTCTAGCTTTTCCTTTTTCCTCCCTCCCTCTTTTTGTGTTTACTTTCTTTTTTCTATCTCTCACCCCTCCCCCCCCCCACCTCTCTCTCAATATCTCTTTGCTCTCTCTCTCTCTCTCTGCACATCCTGATATAACTCTTACGTAGAACATTATATACTATTAATACATGCATACATACATACATGGTGGGTGTTTGTGTGTGCGTGTGTGTGTTTGTGTGTACGTGTGTGTTAGAGCGAGAGAGAGAGAGAGAGAGAGAGAGAAAGAAAGAGAGAGAGAGAGAGAGAGAGAGAGAGAGAAGGCGAACATGAAATAATATAAATACAGTATAAACATATGGCCTTTATATAATAATTAAAACAAGAAACATACAATTTGCTCTTTTCATCAGCCTGGCAAAGTTATTTATGACTTATTAGCTAGCCTATAATGAGCGATATATCTGAGGCTTTTATCAAACTAAAAGCCATCAGAGCGTGCAGATCGATGATCTTCTTTAATTCCTCAATAAACTTATGTAAACTAATTTTGTTTTCAATCTTGAAAACAAATTTTTCCTCTCTCGTATATATTTCTTACAGTTCATTTGCAAAAAAAATAATTTGCATTTTACCCATTCTTATTTGATTCATCTTTTCTAAAAAAATCCAGATAAGTTGACACGTCTCGATACATTTTGAAACAGGTATCGTCCTTGCTCTATTGTTTTCCACTGATTTCTGTTTAAAATGACGCATATAATTATTTTATTAAAATCTATTCCGTGGTACAGTTACATCTCTATACAATAATGTGCTTGTTTATTATATAAACTGTTGGCTCTTCCGTTTCCTTGTAATTCACATTGCGCAGGTATCCACTCAAACTGTGCGTCCTATACCAAAAGCGCTTAATGTGTCACTTTCTCAATTTTATGATTTGTAATGTTTTTAATAGCCTGCAGGGCTGACATCGAATCTGATATGAATATTATAACTGATACTAGAAGATATGAGCGCTATACAAAAACCCACTATTATTATTATTAGTATTAATATCCATTGATAATGTAAGGCTGGGATGAACCGTGCTGCCATCTACTTATTTCTAACTGTGGGATATAAAAAGCTGCACCTGTTATAATTGTATGACCGTCATCAAGTTAGATCCATCTATATACATTTTCAAATACTTGTTCCATTTTATTGAAACGTTTTCTAATAATGCACGATTTAACTGCATTATTGGATATGACTCTTTCTTTTTGACTTGATCATGTAGGCCTACATGAAAGAAACATTTGGTTTCACCAAAATGCCAAGGAGGAGTGCGAGGAGTGTCATCCGGGGGGGGGGGGGGGGTGGGAGTACTCAGATTTGGTTTGGACGGGGGTGTGCCGCTTTTCCCTCCTAGGTTTTGTGTTTCTAAAGAGCACTGGTGACCCTTTAAAGCAGTAGGTAAACAAAGAAAGAAGACTGTCATTGCTCGAATGGCGTGCCCTATTGTATTATTTTTCTGATCGTGAGTTGGCATTTTTAGCTCGCGAACGTTCGAAGCAATTAGTGCCAACTCACGATCAGACAAATATTCACTGATATTCGCATAGGTCTGCACGCGCACTAGCACTTCACACACCCACGTACAGCAGAGCAAACACGTCTAGACTACGTCTCCTCCAAAATGTCTCCAAAAGTCGCTGTTGTAAGTAGATCGTATTTTCATTATCTTATCTCTTGTTCTATGAATATACGAAATGCTCCTAAGTCTACATTTGAATAAATGACCTGACCTTTGAAATGAATGAAGTGATGTTGTGTAGATCTAGTCTATATTTAGTAAAAACATGGATCCGTGGACCCTGGGCAGGTCCATCGCACGCAACGGTTCTTGGCCGCTACCACCGGGCCGCGATCGCTCCGCACTGCAACCTTGCACGACTGGGCCTAGACCGAATTTTCCGTCTCTTTCGTTCGTTAGCCTCTTATTGGGGTAGGGTCGGCCGGCTCTCTCTTTAGAGACGGAAACCGTCTATACACATTCCCTTGATAACGCCACGGCCATTTCAGGTCGTAGCGTTTTGCCCCCAAAATCCCTCAAAATGTCATTTTACCTCGTGCATTTTATATTGTAAATTAGGCCTAGACCTAGGCTATAATAAATCAGTTCCACTTACCAACTTGACTGAAATAATCAGTTTAATAGACTCTAGTCCCTTTTTAGGAATTTATGGGTCAAAATCGAAATCCATGTTGAAAAAGATTTTCAAAATGGATTTCGATTTTGACCCATAATTTCCTAAAAAGGGACTATTAAACTGATTATTTCAGTCAAGTTGGTAAGTGGAACTGATTTATTATAGCCTAGGCCTAGGCCTAATTTACATGTGGATATGCACGAGGTAAAATGACATTTTGGGGGATTTTGGGGGCAAAACGCTACGACCTGAAATGGCCGTGGCGTTATCAAGGGAATGTGTATAGACGGTTTCCGTCTCTAAAGAGAGAGCCGACCCTACCCCAATAAGAGGCTAACGAACGAAAGAGACGGAAAATTCGGTCTAGACTGGGCCGGGCCCGTTGCATAAAACTTACATTGATTGTAACTTTGTCTTTGCCATTATTTAATAATAATAAACTTCCTCAGAAACCTTGATTTGATTTGCTTTGCTGTTGAGTGATGTTGCCATGGTAGTTGATCTTACCTTCTGATGAGTAGACTATCCATATATTCTTGATCTTGGGCTCACATAGGAGCATCACTATCCTTGCTGTGTAGTAAAAGCTGTGCTTTTGATTCTCAACATTTCAAACACCACTGTACAAAACTCGACTGATTTCACTAAAAATCGGTACTTTATTGACAATTGATGAAATCTAAGTAGCAGTAAAATAGATCTACCTTTTTTTTTAACTTACTGATGTTGAAATGAATAATTTAAAATTTCAAATCGTAAGTCTAGTAGTGTCAAACTTTGCTTACAGCTGCATCGACATGAATGTGTGCAGTCTATTCAATATTGTGTGGTGTGTATGTTTGTGTATAGGTCTAATAATGCCTCCTCACAGCAAGCATGCAGTGCTATAGAGGTCAATACGCATTAGCATTGACTCTCTATGCTTTGCTGGAGTGAATCATGGGATGAAGAAATAGTAAATAGATCTAGACCTCTAGATCTACTACTTTTCAACTCTGATTTAAAGGTAAAGACCAGTATTGGCAACGCCCCAATTTCAAAAAATGAAATGGAAGCTCTCATTACCAATCATGTGAAAGAATATGTTTTGACTAATACATGATGATAAAAAATTTGCCGGGAAACCACCTACTAATTCATATATTTGGTAAATTTATTTCTCTCATGGTCTGGTGAGAGAGATAGGGTAGTCCCATATACATCTTTCTGTGTATAGTGCTTGTAACTTTACGAAGAATGAGCCAAATTTCTTATCATTTTGATGATTCCAGAACCTTGCAGATGCTAGATGCTAGATGATCGACCTTTTCTGATCGATTCCACAACGTTTCTTTCACAATGCAATCGCATGACCATTACTGGTCTTTACCTTTAACCCGATCCCCCATTTTACGTTGAGTCTATTTGACAGGTGCCTCTTTTCCTTTTTTTAATAACTGCCCATTTTTCCTTTCTAATAATTGCCCATTCCCGGCCTTCATGTAAATGACCCATTTTTAAACCTCTGGATAAGCAACCTAGCTTTTAGTTTTACAAATGGTAAGTTCTCCTTGCTACTTTTTTAGGGAAAAAACACATGGGAGCTTTGGGCAAATTAGCCCTATAAATGTCAGAAAGAGCCCCCAAAATTCATAAAAGAGCCCCCCAAAATTTGCATAGAGTTCAATGCAAAACAAATTAAAGAGTGTTATTTTCATGCAGCAAGCTTGAAAAGTACCCCCCCCCCCCAAACAAAAAGAAATATATATATATATATATGTATATATATATATATATATATATATATATTAATATGTTTTCCCTTGCTACTTGTGATGTACATTGTAATTACCCCAGGCTTTCATAAGTGCCCCTATTTACATATATTTCCAACTTTCACTTACAAATTCTGCCCTTTTGCGGTCATCTGAAAAGCTATCTTGTTTTGAACAGAATCCTTTTTTCTACTTGTCACCAGTCACCACAATGAAAGGTAGTGGAGCCAGAGGGAAGGGGCAGGAGCACAAAAATGCCCCAAATTTCATAAGAATAAACTTTGCCCACTTTATAAATATGATCGTGCTTGTTTTTAAAAGACAAAAAAAATAGAAAAATAACTTATACTAGGTCTATCTATGAATAGAATATTGGAAAACAATAGTAAAACTATGAAGAAAAGGTGGTTATACTTGTATTAGTTTTAACAGCATTGAGTTATGAATATATAAGACTGTTTGATGTGGTGGTCATTTTTTTTTCTTGTTGTCTAGAAAATGCATAATCCCCTGTCTCGTTCTTTTTCTCCTAAGTTTCATTTCTGGCATGTTATTCTTAGATGTTTATCTTCAACATTTTCTATAGTTGTTACCATATCAAGTAGATACCTTCATACTATCTTTCTAATATGTAATGTAAGTTGCATTCACAAAATGAATAAATTGTTCCATATTTAGGTGATAGCTTTAAGCCTCATCATGAACGAGGCTATGTTAGTTTTGATTGAGTAAAATTGTTGATTGTTTTTCTTCTCAATTAAACATGAACTTTTCTCCCTTATTTTACCAGTAACTGTTTTCTTCTCATTTTTTCCAACCTGTATCTGTTTTTCTCCTCGATTTTACAGGTAACTGGCAATTAAACATAAACTGTTCTCCCTTATTTTAACAGTAACTGTTATCTTCTCATATTTTATGACTGGTATCTTTATTTCTACTCAATTTTACAGGTAACTGGAAGTAACTCAGGAGTTGGTCTTGCCATCGTCCGAGCTCTCTGCAAGCACTTTGGTGAGAATGGGGCGGTATACTTGACCGCTAGGAATGAGGAACGAGGGATGCAGGCCGTGGAAGTCTTGAAGAAAGAGGGTCTCAATCCCAGATTTCATCTTCTTGATGTCAACAATGTAACCAGTATGGAGAAACTCAGAGATGATATCAAGACTGAACATGGCGGTGTAGACATCCTGGTTAACAATGCAGGCATTGCCTATAAGGTGAGATAGAATCCGGGTTTTGGTAACAAATAATTTTTAAAGGGGAAGTCCTGGACAATCCATCCCCAAGCTACATGTAACTGAAATAAAAAACATCAAATAAGAGAAAAATGGATAAGTCAAAGTTTGAAGTGACCCTGATAAAAGGTAATACAGTTCTGAAGTTGTAGATTTGCCTACAATGTGATGAATCGCCTTCAGCATTTAAGACAGACAGCCCAGCAGACTGACAATGTTGACTTTGTAGACCTGAAAAGTTGCCAGAAGGCCCACAAGACCGCCGTTGTAGGCCTTGTGGGCTGTAGGTCTATTGAGATGTTTAAGGATTGACCATGAGGCCCTACTTGATTGACCCAGTGGTGGATTTAATGTGGAGGGGGGGGGGGGCACAACTGGCCTGTGCCTCTATTCAAAAAAAGAAATCCGTGTGTCACACATTAATCACTCTCAAAGTTCTGAGCACAATGTCCCCTGATAAACCTGATAACCTTTGCTTTTGCTTCTGATCTCATGCTGAAGCCCTTACAAGAATATCATTGAGATCATCATCAGCCATGTGTGAAATAAAATGTCTTTGCTGACGTTCTGTGAAATATATTATCTCTCTATTATGCAGAGATGCCAACCAGTATGATTAAATCGTATTTAGTACGATAATAACAGTGAAATACGATCTTAAAATAAGATTTTTCATATTTTTTTTCCAAAAAAAAAAAAATCAAAAAAAAAAAAATCAAAAATCAAAAATCTGATTTTTTAGGATACTCAGTCTGTTGTTTTTTTTGCGTCAAGAGGTTGGCATCTCTGATTATGTAGCGTAGAGGACAATGTACATTATGTATGTCATGTCACGTATCCAAGTGAAATTTTAATGTTTGGTTGGCATTCTTGGTTTCTGTAGGGTAACGACACCCCTATGTGTGAACAGGCTGCAGGAAGTATCAAGACAAACTACCATGGTGTGCTTCTAATGACTGACACATTCCTACCTATTATCAGAGATGGTGGAAGGTAAGATACAATAGCGTAGGGCTAACTCGCCCCAGGGGACATCTCGCCCCAGCCTCAAAGACTGGGGCGAGATGTCCCGGTAGCACTAGCAGTAGTCTGCTAGTTTACGGCCAGGACGAAAGAATGTGAACAAACATCAGCCATTTCGTCTAAAATGTAGTACATTCGACTTCTCAATAACGAAATTTATACCAGGAATCAAAAATAGACCTTCATACATTATGAAATTATATTTTTGCAGTGATTTACTGACAAAAACACTGCTTGAATTTCAGTGGTCCGAGTTGATACAATGCACATTTAATGTACGTGCGGCAATGCAAATTGCGAGCTGTGAGTAAATTGTCCGAAATGCCATTTTTGGGGTCATTTTACCTAAAGAGAAGTTATAGATTGTCTTCAATAGTATCATTTAACACAATTCCATTACAGATTGTGGTTGTAAATGGCATTATTAAGTCGCAATGAGCACAAACATATACATTGGTATCTCTTGATCGGTGAATCATGTCGGGACATCTCGCCCCAGTCTTTGAGGCCGGGGCGAGATGTCCCGTGGGGCGAGTTAGCCCGTATACGATACAACGTACTGGTATTGTGTGATACAAACTGAAAGGCCATGAAGTTTTACCCAGATGTGTCTTTGAATAGATTACCCCCAAATAAATTACTTAGATTCAGTCGGCAATCCATTTACAATAACAAGATCCAATGTATTAGTAAAGACTATTTAAACATTATTTACCAATGTAAATTGTTACACCTAGTACAGTCAAACCTCATTATAAAATGACAATTATATAACCGACTCTCAGTAAAAAAAAGTCATGTTTGTAACAAGGTGATTTTGACATTCCTATTTCTTTTTATTTTACTGTTTTTAAGTCCCTAAATACAAAGTACTTTCCATGGTCCTAAGGAGTTTTTACCATTTAAGATTTCATTCACTGTAGTTTATTAGAAAGGTATAATGTGTGCTATTATCTATTATAGGAATCTTCAAAGCCAGGCTATGATTTACCATGCTTCTGCCAGGGTGATAATTCAAACAAATCTTTGTTCCCTGTCCATCTAGGATTACCCATATAGCAAGCTTGGTGGCCCCTATGGCGTACTACAAGATGAGTGAAGAACTCCAGCAGAGATTCAAGGACGTCTCGACTGTAGCGGGTGTGACAGACCTCATGAATGAATTCATTGAGTGAGTAGATTATTAAAGGGAGATGGCCGTCAGTTTAATTCAAACAAATCTTTGTTCCCTGTACATCTACGATTACTCATGTGGCAAGCATGGCGGCCCCTATGACGTACTACAAGATGAGTGAAGAACTCCAGAAGCGCTTCAAGGACGTCTCAACTGTAGAGGGTGTGACAGACCTCATGAATGAGTTTGTTGAGTGAGTAGATGATTAGAGGGGGATGGTTGTCAGTTTCCATCTGCAGTAGGTCACAGTTTGCTGACACCAGATTTGGTGGATATACCATAGATGGGTGTACAAGTCTCGCACATCTAAATCCGTAGTCCCATCATGAAATACCCCCCAGTATCTAAGAGAGTCTTCGGTTGAGGGAAATGCAAGATAATGACTTTTTCATATGGGGCGATTGGTGGAAAATGCAGAGCATTACATAAGGCCTGTTGGTCACAAACTGAAGGCTACTCCTGCCCCCCCCCCCCCCCACTCCAGGAACGGAGGGATCGCATGCGTGTCCCCAAAATCTCTGGCTCGTAACAAAGAAAAAGATCTACTCGTATTGACTTTACACACCGGACTTATGCTGAAAGGGGGGGGGGGGTGGGGGTGCTGGGAACACGCATATGCGTTCCCTACATTACACTTGAGTGGGGGGGGGGGGGCGGGAGGCTAATCCTGGTGATTGACAACACCTGTTATTGGTTAAACAATTGAATGTTGTTGAATTCCGCTTGAGAGTCCACTACTATGTGTTTTTAAGCCTATCTCTACTATGGTCGACTTCAATGAACAAACAGTGGATTGTCACAGTCAGCTTTTGGCACATGTATGTGTACGAGGTAATAATGCATATGTACCATATATCCAAAATCATGTGGTAGTCCAGTGTTTCATTCCAGAGCAGGTTTATTGCTTGTTTGTTTCAGACATTGACAATCAACGCTCTCCATCTACATCGTACATAACATATGTCTCTGGTCATGTGTAATGTCTCAAACTGTTCATACTTGTTCATCCATTAAACAGATGACTGGATTTGAAGTGCTGTCTCACTCTCTGCTTCTCTTTCCCGAAACTTTTCCATTCAATATCAGATTTTCTGTGCTTTCTCTTCTGATCATATGACCAACAAACTGAAAGTGTCTGTATTGTAATGTTTTAGATCAATTGACTTCATTTCCTACTCTGCATTCCATGATATCCTAAGTATTGTCTTTCAAGAAGACTATTAATACAAGGGATTGTCAAGGGATGAATATAATTTTCTCTTATCGAAATGATGTGATTTACACATGATTTTACATGAGAGGAATTTTGTTCAAAACAAAAATCATTAAAGGTGAAATTCAAAGAAAATCACAAATATGTCAACGAATGTATCACTAGAAACCGGTAAGCTAACAGATGGCCATCGTACAAGCTATACGTCAACTACATATCGGGTGATTTATAAAAATACAAATACAACGACCTCCATAGCAGCTGGGATATACAAGAGATTCGCCGGAAAAATAACAATGTTTTAATGACGTCACTATATGGACCAATACTGCCCAAGCAGACGACATCCCATAAAGAATGAACATAATTGCAAAGCTATTATTTGTCAAATTATAATGAGTTTAGTGTATATGAATGTATTGGCATGTCAAACCATTCAAAAGGGGATATGACCCGATTCTGATAACTAAAATATTTTGCTTGTAAATACACAGGATAGGGGTTAATTAACAATCAAAGAAACCAGACTTTCAAATTGGAAAACCCCCGGAATGATATTAAGGATGGCATTTGTTCCCTCTTGAAACGCCGAACATACCACGGTGTGTGCAGCTGAATATACAATGGCGTCTTATTTTGTTTACAAGCGACAGATTCCTTTATTTTTGTAGCGCTGCATTTGTCATCAAAACAAAACCATGCGCGGGGTTTAGAGTGAGGTAAAAGATTATACATTTAGCCTGACGGTTGTTAAGTAAGAGAAAGAACTCAAGAGAAGATGAAAACACAGGCACTGAAAATGTGTGAGATGTCATGGGACATCGTCTGCTTGTGCAAATCATGTCCATACTGTGAACTCACACATCTCAGCAGCGTTCGGAGAGCTCTTCAGGTGCTATGCTCAGGCTGTATTTAAGCATTTTGTAATTTATAATAATCATTACTTTGAATGTTTCCAAGCATTGAATTTTGATAACCTTGTCGAATCATAGTTTCAACTTTGCAATAATGAAAATAAAGTTAGTTTTTAAAATCAATGAATATCTACTTTAAAGGCATGTACACTGTTAAAGCGTACCCCCCCCCCCCCCCCCCCCCCCGAGAAAAAACTGGAGGGGGGGGGATTTGGGTGATTGTTTACATATTCCAATAAAATATTGTTTGTTCTGATGGCTATTGTAAATAGGGAAATTGTGTTTCACAATCTCATCTTATATTTTACACCTAGATGTTATCTTCTTACAGGGGTATATTAAAAAAAAAATGAAATTCATTCCTTCACTATAAACATGCTAATGCTAGTTTGTTTACAGAGAGCTATAACTTTACGAATATATCCAGTTTATTCTTTGCTGATTATATAGTTCCCATCATTTTTCCTTCTATTTGCAGGGCAACTAAGATTGGAGACCATGTGAAAAAGGGCTGGTCAGACTGGGCTTACGGGACCAGCAAACTAGGAGTAGCAGCCCTCACCAAAGTACAGGGGGAAAACATGAGCAAGGATACAAGCAAGAAAGATGTCCTCATTAATTGTGTAAGTACCTGTATATCTCTCAAAGGGGGTGTAGCATCACGAGACTACGTGTCTTTCCCGTGGCCTGACTCGGGGGCCAATCAGGGATAATACAACTACGGATGACGCGACCGCAGTATTTACGTGTGTGCAACATCGCAAAACCGAAGTGTGAGGAGAACTTTTGTCTGTTTCTCAAACACTAGCGCGCACTGACAGTCAATCAAGCCCATTCGTTTATGTGCAGTACTTGTCCAAAAGAAGTGGTAGATGGCGTTAACCAGTATTTTTCATGCTGCACCCCCTTTAAGGCTCGTTCTACATGACAGGGCAAAACATTTTTTTAAAGATGATGTAAAGCGTACTGAGCTTCACATTACTGTATCTTATAACACAGTGTTGCAGTTTGTTTTGTGCAGTTGTCATTCATTTACAGGTTTTTGGGGGGCGTTAATCGCGCCATATCTGAACAAGCCGTGTCCTTGCATACTCTATGTAAGGATAAGCTGTGCCTTGTAAAATGCCGTCTAGTGAAGACAGAAGTCAGCCCCCCAAAAGCCGCCTCATATTTTTTTACCTGTAAACAAACGAATTTGCAAGAAGATTACCAACATGGTGAAGGGTCATGTTGTCAAACATGAAAACCTCCTTATGTTAGAATGTAAAGTGCCATTTTGAAATGAACTATTCTAGAAAGGTTGATTGTTAAAGACCGTTTGTTGTTATGGTTTACCGAGTTTGATTATGATCAGAATCAGCAAAATCAATAAAAGACTGAAAAGCATGTACTCCACCCAGGTATGGTGATGACCAAGAAGGCTGCTTGTCCATATATTCAGATGGTCATATCTCAGCCAATACTTAACCTTTTCAATTGGTTTTCGACATTTGGACATTATTTTTGATACTTTTTTGGAAAATGAAGGAAAAAAATGAGAAATTCAAAAAATAGATTTTTGATGACGTCACACTTCACAACTCTAAACTGAAGTATCAGGGCATTCAAAGATGAATCCCTCTCATGGTATGTTACTAACTTTTTGTTCCTTTACATTCTTGTTCACATTTTCTTTGCTTGACAGTGCTGTCCCGGCTACGTTGAGACAGGCATGACAGCACATCATTCCGGCGCCCAAAAAAGGCTCACCCCAGACCAGGGGGCGGACACTCCGGTCTACTTGTCACTCCTACCGGCCGGGACGACCGACCTTCAGGGCAAGTTGTTGTCCAAGAGAAAGGTCAAGAACTTCTTTGAGGAGGACATCAGGCCAATCACATTCAACTAAATTGTGCTGTTAATCCATGGCAGTTCAGAATTTAATTATTTTCCAACTTAAAGATAAACTCCAGTTCTGGTAAAAAAAAGAAAATTAATTCTCACAGAATGAAACGAAACTTACACTGAATTTTCAAGATTACAAATAAATGACATGTGCCAAACAATTTTGGAAGAAAATGTATACTGGCTGAGTAATGAGCATAGAAAGGAAATCAAGGTAGTACTAGCCCCGACACCATGTTTGTTGTCCCATATATAGCTTTCTGTGTACAGTGCTTGTTACTTTACCAAGACTCGGCCAAATTTATTATGATTTTGATGACTCCAGAACCTTGCATTGCACACCAGTACTGGAGTTTATCTTTAATCAAATTTCCCTCCTCAAATTGGAGCAATTAATCTTTTATTCCTCTCCTTCATAGTTTGAAAACATTATAATGTTTATTAAGAACATTGGAAAATTTCTAATTGGTACATGAAAATAGTTGATTTTAATTATTACTTAGAATTAAATCACTCTTATTCAAAGAGAAGAAAAGTCACTATAAAAACATTGTATTGATATGGGTTAACCCTTTCTGACCGAAATAGCTGAATCCAGTTATTGCACTGGAAGTGTATACAGATGATGCCAAGAATGCCTGAGGAATTGATGTTGGGTCTCGATCTCTCCCTCTAGGTGCTGTATGTCAACTCCATCCATGCTACTGCATTTTGCTAAGGTATCTTGAAGGGGAACAACCACCTAAGAAAACAATGTATGTACGGGTAGTAGGTATAGAATCAACTCCCAAAGTATAACTCAAATTCTTTGGGTTAATGGCGAATAAAGAAACTAAAGCACAACATAAAACCATGCATATGAATCTGAGCCAGTTTTGGGCTCCCGACAAAGCCTTTCTATGCAATTGCGTCATTTAGTCCACTCAAAATTGACTTACAATCAATCCAAATAATGCCTAGAGATTCGGTGCACTTATAAATTGTAGTTCCTTTCTTGTCAACTATATAATTTGTTGAAACAGTAGAATGTGTCATAACTTTAATCTGTAAGTATTTCTTGATAATTTAAGAACTACTTTATACAGTGTTTGAACACCTTGGTTTCAATGGGTAGAAAAATGGGATATGTTGCTTTGTTGTGAGAGCGTATAAAAGAATAAGTTGCATATTGCTTCTGAGGTAGCAAACAAAAAAATGCAAGGGAACTGCAAACGATTTCGTTCTCAAAAGTTCCAAAAGTGCTCTGGTAAATTGAAAAAGAGCTCTGGTAAGAAACAATAAAATACTTTAATATCACTGTGAGAAAATCTTAGTTATACAATGCCACAGCCTTGACTGTGGGCCACGTATATGTATGTGGTCTCGCTCTCAGCATGCCCTGTGCGCACCACGTACATGTACATGGTTAGGGCATTGCACTTTCAAGACCGTAGCACTGCATGCTGCCCCCGGCCCCCCCACTCAGTGTTATTTAGGGTACGCATATGCGTGTTCCAAGCGACCCCCCCCCCCCCTTTTCAGCAAAAGTCTGGTGTGTAAAGTCAATACGGGTCAACCTTTTTCTTTTGTTATACAAGCCTTTTCAGCACCCCCCCTTTTCAGCAAAAGTCCGATGTGTAAAGTCAATACGGGTCGTCCTTTTTCTTTTATTACGAAAGGACATTTTGGTAACACGCATGGGGTCCGTCCGTTCTCGGAGTGGGGGGCCGGGATACTGCCTAGCCTTACTGTGTAATTAGCACTGCAATGATGTTATACAGGTCTTGAACAGTAGATGGCGCTCTTTCACACAAAAAATCCGGCCTTTTCATGTACGCGCTTTAAAAAAAAAATCCAGCCTTTTCGTGTACATTGTACACTTTTTGAACAGTACAAAAAATGCTGTAGCACAGGGGGTATGCCTCACGTTTTAAGCCAATAGCAGACAAGTGGTTAATTTGAAGAGTTCCAAGGAACAGACAATTTTTGTTATACTGTTCGCATGTGAATGTCCAATTATTGTCTAGAGGTGAAAATAGATGAAGTCTTATTCTTCTACAAGAAACTGATCTATACTCTAATAATTCATTGATTTAACATATATATAATATATATATATATATATATATATATGATTGTGTATGAATGCAATGAATGTTTTCTTCACTAAAATTTATTCTATTTCAAGTTTCCATTTAAAATGGTTCAGACTTAGTCTGAAAAGAACTCTGTACATTTATTGTTAGATGTGGTATTTGTAGAACATATGGTATTTTTTAAAGATAAATTGTACGTCTATATGACTTAACTTTGAACAAGTACTGACTACTGATTAGTATTTCACTTATTCCTTTCAGGGGAGCTAAACCTTTCAAAGCACACCACTTTGTTTGCAGCTTCCCTTTTCTTTGTCTCTATTAGTATTAATGTTTGTATGACTTTACTTTTCGATATATTTTTTTTTGAAAATGATGATGAATGAATAAATGAATTGAAATAGAACTGTACATAGTCTACATGAACAAGATTTTGCTTTCCAATGAAAAGAAAATAAATCATGATTTTCTATTAGCATGAATTCCTTGATTTGTTCCTGTGTTATTAAAACAAAAACATTTGTACAGTAGGCTAGGGGGTGCACCATGTGAGAGAGAGAGGGAGGATTGACGAGTCCTTAAAAGGACTCTCGGTAATCTTTCTTTCTTGAGGGTGTGTAGTCCTGAAAAAGACTGTTGGTTATCTTTCTTAGCTTATAGTTCTAAGGAGAACTGTAGTGCTTGGAGAGGATGGGTATTTGTGAGTGGCATAATGCAAGAGAGCTAGGGTAAAGTGTGCATTGGTGCATGTGATTTCTTGGAAGTAGTTTACAAAGACTAAGATGAACTTTAAGTTGGACTTAACTATGACAGGCCGTTCATGCTACTGTTTGCTCTCACCATTTACTTGCATTGGTCTCTCGAGGGACGTACAATCATGGTCACAAATCTACAGAATTTACATTTTATGATAAATCATTATTGGAGAAAAAAAAAGCTAAAGATCGTAATGGTGAGAGCAACCAGTAGTACGGATGGCAAGCCAGGGAGGTGTTTCACAAAGATCTTAAGTTCAACTTATCTCTAAGATGGACTTAACAAATATGGAAAGCTGTTAGCATCTATGAAAATATTTTGTAAAAGTTATTTGAAAGGCATAAAATGTTGATTTAAATCATTCATATTTTCTATCATCAAGGATATTACATGTTTTTGATGTGGAATTTATCAAAAGTCTAAAATACTTGAACTTTTGCTTTTGAATATATTATATTTGAAGGCTACAATTGGCTCTCCATATTTTAAGTCCAGCTTAAAGGGAGTTAAGTTCGACTTAGGATCTTTGTGAAACACACCCCAGATCTTAGTCTTTGTGAAACACCCCACTGGTAAGGTACATATATATATATATAGTAGGCAGTCGGATTAGGTGTGAATGCAGTAGATTTAGGAAACAAAGTTGATGAAAAAGAATGAGGATGTATAAAAGGAGAACAATGAATAGCATTGATGTTTTCATCCAACATGAATTAAATAGTTATTGGAGAATACTAATGACATGTAGATAGTTTATTTGGGGGGGGGGTAAATTTGATCAATGTAGAAGACAGCAGTAGAACAAACGCGAATTAAGAAGGAGATTGAAATGAGAAAGAGGAGATAGACTGTAGGTAGGGGGAGGCTAGGTTAAAATGAAATGGAGAGGGAGAGAGTGAATGAGAGAGAGAGAGGGAAATAGAGAGAGAGAGAGAGAGAGAGCTAATGGAGAGGGAGAGAGAGAGTGAGAGAGAGAGAGAGATTATGATAGAGATTAAAGATATAATAAGAATGAGCCTTGTAATAAGAGAAAGTGGCTGAGAATAAGAGAGACGGCGATGGGGGGGGGGGGGGGCGATATGTTGCAAAAGAAAGTTCTCAAATGTTTGAAACGGCTTAATTGAATGCCTTAATTGTTACCATATTTTATGAAATAAAATCGGTTCCTTAGAATGCATGACCAAATCGAGGCATTATTTGGAAACCATTTCTATTCATTTCCCAGGTGATTCATGTTCTACAATGTACCTAAACTCTAGGTCAGTGGGTATCTCACCTGCAGATATATAAATCTGACATCATTATCTTAAAGGTGAAATTCAAGGAAAATCACAAATATGTCAACTCATGTATCACTAGAAACTGGTAAGCTAACAGATGGCCATCGTACAAGTTTCATGTCAACTACATATCGGGTGATTTATAAAAATACAAATACAACCACCTCCATAGCAGCTGGGATATACGAGAGATTCGCCGGAAAAATAACGATGTTTTAATGACGTCACTATATGGACCAATATTGCCCAAGCAGACGACATCCCATAAAGAATGAACATAATTGCAAAGCTATTATTTGTCAAATTATAATGAGTTTAGTGTATATAAATGTAATGACATGTCAAATCATTCAAAAGGGGATATGACCCGATTCTGATAATCAAAATCGTTTGCTTGTATATACACAGGATAGGGGTTAATTAACAATCAAAGAAACCAGACTTTCAAATTGAAAACCCCCCGCAAACTTTTGAGAGTTTGTTTCCTTGCGGTAAGTTTTGAAAGAGGAGTAATTAATGTCGAGATTTTTTTAAGTGGCAGACAACTTTGAATAAGATAATCAGCGATAATGTCCGTTGGATTTCATTCCCCTTCAATACAGTAGACTGGTTTTAAACCAGTCTACTGTATTGAAGGGGATGTATGGATGATTTCTTTTCTTCCCTGGAGACCTAAATTAAGTTATTTTATTAAGCCATTTTTTCCATTATTAGTGAATGGAATACAGAACTCGGAATCCTGTCAGCATACATTACCTTTCGCTACGTCGGGCAAGCACCGTGCAAGATTTCAGGTTGTCAAGAACAATCTTTATTTGTTTAAAAAGTATTCATAATATATTTGAATTGTTAGTAAACCGGTCTATTATGACCAGGCACGTAGTCACGGGGGGGGGGGGGGCACGTGCCCCCCCCCCCAAATTTCCGAGATCGATTGAACTTATTTAGACCCCTTTGTTTTTACCTCGATCGATTACAAGTCATGTATGTGCCCCCCCCCCCCCCTCAAAAAAAAAAAAAAAAATCAAATCAAACTCTGGCTACGTGCCTGATTATGATAAGAGAGTGCGCTGCTCATGGTGATAAAGGTCATTATGCACCGAGGATGACATAGCAACCCCCCCCCCCCCCCCGAAACGAGTTATGTAAAATTGTATAGTGAAACGAGACATCGAATTCGGCACGGAGACGAATTAGGTGATCTGCCGCTTTGATCGAGACATAACACATGTATTCGAAACTCAACGGGAGATTGGGTCCTCAAAAAAAATAATCCCGTCTTCCATATATGGTACACGCATATGAACAAATTCAGTCCCCCATGACGCGCGCACGGACTGGGTGTGACCAGTAGTTTACCCATGACGTCAAGTTGATGATTAACAAATATCATTCATAAATAACTACCCATGACGGAAATATATAACACAAAGTTATTGGAAGATGGCACGTTCAAGTAGGAACCATAATGGCAGATTTTGCAGTCTGCACCTTAAATTAGAATTTCGACCACGATCCCGTCTTCTGGTCAAAATTTGAATATTTGTTGTATTCGTAGAATAAATCCGCATCTACAAAATTTAATATGGGAGACATCAGAGTAGGGATAGACGATATATATTCAAAACAACAACGGCAAATATTACCTAATCGAATCCAATTCAATTATTTGTCTTTATTTCGTCCACCATGACGCACGCACAGACACGGATGACAAAAATTCTACCCATGATGTCAAGTTTGTGCATATCAAATATAATTCACAAATGACAATGAATGACGAAAACATGGTCAATATAGAAATTAATAAAATGGCGCCTAGGTGACGTCACGCATCAGTAATAATTTTTAAAAAAATCCCTTCGTTAGGATCAATAATAATGCATATATGGCACATGCTGTGGCGGGAGTGGCACACATCCTCTCCAAGCGCTATAGGCTAGTTCTCCTTATAGAACTATAAGCTAAGAAAGATAACCAACAGTCTTTTTCAAGACTACGCCAACAGTCTTTTTCAGGACACACCCTCAAGAAAGATTACCGAGGGTCCTTTTCAAGACTCCTCAATCCTCCCTCTCTCTCTCACACATAGTACACCCGCAAGCCTACTGTATACATGTCATGAAAAGTTCGTTTTCATTTACTATGTCGTTTATGTATGGTGGCCCTGAAGGGACATCGCGAATAGACTAAATCGTGAAAAATATGCGATAAAATTCACGATATCGTCAATTTTATCGCATATTTTTCACGAAGAAATTCACGAAATTGACGATATCGTGAACTTTATCGTGAACTTTTCACGATGAAATTGACGATATCGTGAATTTTATCGTGAAAAGTTCACGATATAAAGTTTACGATATCGTCAATTTTATCGTGTACTCTATCGTGTACTCTCCTGACGGGCGCTTCGTAAACAAAACCAGCCCTAGCTGGGGGAGACAGAGAGAAGGAAAAAAAGGAAAGGGAAAGAGAAGATAAAAGGAAAGAAAGAATAATAAGAAGGAAAGAGGGAAACGGGAGGGGGGGCGAAGGGCTCTTGCCTCCTCCTAACTCCCCCCCCCCCCGCCAAAAAATAAATAAGGAGAGAGAGAAGGGAAAGGGAAAGGGAAAGAAAATATAAAAGGAAAGAAAGAAGAGGAAGAAGGAAAGAGGGAAACGGGGGAAGGGCGAAAGGCTCTTACCTCCCCCCCCCGCCAAAAAAATAAATAAGAGAGAGAGAAAGAGAGAGAGAAGGGAAAGGGAAAGAAAGAAGAGGAATAAGAGGGAAACAGGGGAAGGGCGAAGGGCTCTTGCCTCCTCCCCCCCCGCCAAAAATAAATAAGAGAGAGAGAAGGGAAAGGGAAAGAAAATATAAAAGGAAAGAAAGAAGAGGAATAAGAAGGAAAGAGGGAAACGGGGGAAGGGCGAAGGGCTCTTGCCTCCTCCCTCCCCACCCCCGCCAAAAAAAAAAATAAGAGATAGAGAGAGAAGGGAAAGGGAAAGGGAAAGAGAAGATAAAAGGAAAGAAAGAAGAGGAAGAAGAAGAAGAAAAGAGGGAAACGGGGGCGAAGGGCTCTTCCATCCCCCCGCCCAAAAAATAAATAAGAGAGAGAGAGAGAGAAGGGAAAGGGAAAGAGAATAAAAAAGGAAAGGAAGAAGAATAAGAAGAAAAGAGGGGCTCTTGCCTCCTCCCCCCTCCCGCGCCAACAAATAAATAGGAGAGAGAGAGAGAGATAGAGAGAAGGGAAAGGGAAAGGGAAAGAAAATATAAAAGGAAAGAAAGAAGAAGAAGACGGAAAGAGGGAAACGGGGGAAGGGCGAAAGGCTCTTACCTCCCCCTCCCCCCTCCCGCCATAAAGGGAAAGAGAAGGGAGAGGGAAAGAAAATATAAAAGGAAAGAAAGAAGAGGAAAAAGAATAAGAAAAGAGGGAAACAGGGGCGAAGGGCTCTTGCCTCCTTTCTTTTCTTTCTTTTCCTTTCTTTCCTATTCTTTCCTTCTCTCTGTCTCCCCCAGCTAGGGCTGGTTTTGTTTACGAAGCGCCCGTCAGGAGAGTACACGATAGACTACTCGATAAAATTGACGATATCGTGAACTTTATATCGTGAACTTTTCACGATAAAATTCACGATATCGTCAATTTCATCGTGAAAAGTTCACGATAAAGTTCACGATATCGTCAATTTCGTGAATTTCTTCGTGAAAAATATGCGATAAAATTGACGATATCGTGAATTTTATCGCATATTTTTCACGATTTAGTCTATTCGCGATGTCCCTTCAGGGCCACCATATTTATGAGATATGAAGCAAACAAAAACCATACAGAAATAAAGAGGGAAAAGGGGTGCTCCTCAGTCACGCTTCGCTAGCTTCTGAAGCAGTCAATAGGTGCTCTGCTATACGTACGCTACGCGGCAGCTAGATCACTAGATCAATTATATAGATCTGCCACGTATTCTAAAGTATTCTTTTTCTACCCATTGAATATATTCAGACAGTGTTTCAGTGTGCAGGTTTGTGTTTTAGGAAGTTTTACAGAGACGACCGGGTTCCGAATAAAAATGCCTCAAAAAGTCGCTGTTGTAAGTATAATTATCTAGATCTGAACAGCATCATTATGATTACCTTATCCAGCTCTGATCAGATCTCTTAGAAAGTGGCTTTTAGCCTGCATTATCGACCAGTTAACTTTTTACGCTTCTATATTTTTCTGTTTGATATACAAGGTAACTGGGAGCAATACCGGAATTGGTCTTGCCATGGTGCGAGCTCTCTGCAAGCACTTTGGTGAGAATGGGGTGGTATACTTGACCGCCAGGAACGAGGAACGAGGGATGCAGGCCGTGGAAGTCTTGAAGAAAGAGGGGCTCAATCCCAGATTTCATCTTCTTGATGTCAACGATGTAACCAGTATGGAGAAGCTCAGAGATGATATCAAGACTGAACATGGCGGTGTAGACATCCTGATCAACAATGCAGGAATTTTATCCAAGGTTTGTATTATGACCGACTCTCTAGTCAATGAAAATCACATCTTGGGAGAATGAATTCATACTTCATTCTTATTATAATTGTGTAGCGAAGTTAAATATAAAATGACGACTTTTTGTAGCTATAATCTGAAAGTTTGTTATTCAATAAAAAGAAAAAACGGCGTCGTTTACTTCACAATACATATATCTGATTAATTTCTTATTTTTCTCTTATTTAGTGAATAGGAGTCTTTATAATGCTAAAAGGCTGTGCCTCGGATCTCATTCTTATATTTTGAGATTTGTGATGTGTTGAAGCCCTTACAAGAACATAGATGTATGTAAAATGAAACATTTTATGAAAACACTATACTTGTGCTCTTCGCAGTATGGAGTATGCTATTCAACTCTTTAGTAAGTGATTTCTTTTTTAATTACCCTTTTTTCTCTTGTACAGTTTGACATCCCTATGTATGAACAAGCGGTAGAAATGACCAATACTAACTACCACGGTGTGCTTCTAATGACCAACACATTCCTACCTATTATCAGAGATGGTGGAAGGTAAGATTCAAATTGTGATTCCATATACTGACAAAACCAAACTAAAACATTTGGGTACATGGAATATTAATGAATTTCGTGAGTAAAGTTCCCATTCACAAAGGTTTCATGACGTGAAGTAATTGAATCACAACGTTGAATTTTTGCAATTTGCGAAAGATTTTGTGTTTTAAGGGACATGGCAATTCCAGCAGGCTAACTGACATAATGAAACGTTGTTGCTTCATGAAACCAGATGAAGCAGTATATTACATATGAATTTGTTTACCCCTGTTTTGTTCATTCTTGTGCGTTCACTGGGATCGTTTAAATCGGATTAACCCGGGCCAAACCCTGGGTAGCTGTGGTTCGACCATAAAAGTACTGGATCGCATGTTAGCCATTCAAAGAAAAGGGTGTAACTTAAAAATACTATGTCCCTTTTGCAGCCAACATCAAATTCTGTAGAACTTTGCAGGAATTATGAATATGTCATGTATGTCCTATCTGTGAAATTTAAACATTAGCAGTGTCCTAATAATCAAATCTTTTGTTATGCAAGGAAACTTACCCGGTTACCTTCTAGACTTCACTGTCAGACACTATCGAGTGACTGATCGACTGACGTACATCTTTTTCTTTGGTAATACATAAAATGAGCTGTAACAGTTACATGAGCACTTGTCCACATCGATAACCCACTACTTGTAATGGCCACAATTAAACTGATTGAATCTTTGTGCAACACAAAACGTACGACCAGATCAGTAAAAGGGTCTGAAAATCAGATTATTACTTACTAGGTGATTGCAATCACTCAAGTCGATTCGACAACTAATAGTCGTTATTTTCCCACCAAAAGCTATTTTCAAGCCCTTTCGTTATGATGGAAGTTCTAAATTAGTATTTTCTTTTAAATGCCGTTGGAATTTAACCTTTTCATTTGTTGGCCTGCAAATGAGGCAGTAGTACCTTTAATGTGTAGGACCTTTAACTATTTAAACGTGGTTGGCATTTATTACACATTATAAATTGCAGCAATTTTTTTTCTTTTTGGCTATAGTTAACTATTGCAATCTGGACATTTTCGGTTGATCAGAGCATGGCCCTCTCTTTATAACTCTTTGGTGACTCTTTGTAGGGTTGTCCAGCTAGCCAGCTTAATGGGCGCTAGAACGTTCTACGATATCAGTGAAGAACTCCAGCACCGCTTCAGGGATGTCTCGACTGTCGAGGAGGTGACAGGCCTCATGAATGAATACATCAAGTGAGTAGACTGTTAACACTGCTTTCTTCGCCTCTCTGTACGGTCTCTTGTTGCCACAGTTGCAATTTTGCACAAAACAATATGCACTAATTTATTGACAAAAGAATTGCTTTGTGCAACACAGTGGCTTTGCAAAATTGCCCATGTCCAGTCTTGATTAGCTCCATGACAAGTATTTTAACATGGTATAGATTAATCTTGCTCTAGAATCAGTTATAAGATCTGGAAAGCCTCGGTATAAAACCTTGATAAAATATATGATGTGACACCGATAATTTGTGTGACATAATTTTTATATAAATAAGAGTTAATACAATGGCTGAAAATTCATTTGTCGGAATGATGTGGTTATATTACAAGTAAAATATGTTAGCTATACCAATATGTATTCCTTTGTGTCAAAGGTCGATTCCAAGCATTGTAGAATTATATTTCCAGATAATTTTCCATTTTCAATAGAGAATACACTATACATTTTAATAAAAACCTACAAAACAATGATATTAGGCTACATATTGAAGGTAATGCAAAGTTTTGGGAAATTTTGTAAATTGGATGGATAGTAATTCTTTTAAATGTTGATATATTTGGATGCCCCTGTGAATGCATTATAAGCACTAGAAACTTTAGTCCCTAATAAACTTCTGCTATTGAGAAATTTGAATAATCAAAATTTACCGGTGTTCCCGGTAAATTTCAAATATTTGTCACTCTTTTGAAAAATGGGCAGAAATTTGTCTGACCAAGAAACAACTTATGCATGCCAACTGCTCAGCTTTTCCAAACATCTGAATCAAAATTCTCGGCACAATATGCTATGAAAGAATAGTACGTTACCAAAATTGTATATTATTAGAAAACTGCTGTGAAGGATGCATTTCACAAATGACTATCCTACATTGTAGCCAAAATATACAGGTCAGTGAGTACTACTCTCACAGTCTCTGTTATCACTTTTCTAATCAAAATGGCAACTCCAATGGGAGAATGACCAGCAAGGAAACTGCAGTCTTAGAGAGACTTCTTTTTTTTCTTTGCTAAGAAATCAAATAGGGGTAATTTCAAGATATTTCTAAATGGCTGATAATTTTGAATAATGTCGAGGTGAGTTCTGGTAATGAAAAATTACATTAGAACAAATATTGATTATCTTTAAAGGTTAGGTTTTGCATGGTTAGATATGCTACAGTCATATATGTTGATGGATGCATCTTATATCTGGATGAATAATTTCAAGATATTTCTAAATGGCTGATAATTTTGAACAATGTCGAGGTGAGTTCTGGTAATGAAAAATTACATTAGAACAAATATTGATTATCTTTAAAGGTTAGGTTTTGCATGGTTAGATATATACAGTCATATATGTTTGTGTTTTCATTCTGTAGGTGAAAATCTAGATGAATGCATCTTTATATCTAGATGAATACATTCTTATCTCTAGATGAATGCATTCTTATCTCATGGCTAATGCATTCTTATATCTAGGTTTAATGTATTCTTATCTCTAGATGAAATTATCTAGATGAATGCATTCTTAAATGTAGATGGATGCATCTTATATCTGGATGAATACATTCTGAAATGGTTTCTGGAATGAATCCAAGGATGTGGGCCGGGTTTGCATGGATTTTCTACACGTATAACATTCTATCAGTGATTGTAACTCATAAATGTTTTGATTTATATCTGTAACTCCTGTTTTAAAGCTGATTGTATCAGTAATGTAATACTACTGTTCTCTTCTGACTCGAAAGAATCCAAGTAGCACGCATCATTATCTGTAAAACTACAAGTATATAAACATGAAGTTGTAAAACTACAAGTATAAAAAAATGAAGTTGTAAAACTACAAGTATATAAACATGAAGTTGTAAAACTACAAGTATATAAAAATGAAGTTGTAAAACTACAAGTATATAAACATGAAGTTGTAAAACTACAAGTATATAAACATGAAGTTGTAAAACTACAAGTATATAAACATGAAGTTGTAAAACTACAAGTATATAAAAACATGAAGTTGTAAAACTACAAGTATATAAACATGAAGTTGTAAAACTACAAGTATATAAACATGAAGTTGTAAAACTACAAGTATATAAACATGAATTTGCCCTGCAAACAAATATTTTGTTTCTTTTTTACAGGGCAACTAAAGAAGGAGATTTCAAAACAAAGGGCTGGCCAGATTTGGCTTACGGGATCAGCAAAATTGGAGTGGCAGCCCTTACCAAAGTCCAGGGTGAAAACGTGAGCAAGGATAAAAGCAAGAAAGATGTCCTCATCAATTGTGTAAGTCACAAGTTTCTTCTGTGACACATTCTCGAGCTTCAATTGCTCTGTTGTCAATTCCCTGCACTAACTGGATTCTCAACCATATCCCAGGACCAAATACTATCCCTAAACCTAACCTTACCTTTAATAAATTCAATGGCAACCATACTATGTCCTTAATCGATGTTAACAACTGGCCTGCCATTTACCTCTCTGCATTTGCGCTTTTGTTGAATCATTTTATCCCAAATGAGCCTAAAGACCTACAAAAACTTATTATATTTTATTTAGTAATTCAGGGGCGTACGCAGGATTTTTTCAAGGGGGGGGGGGGGGGGGGTTTTGCTCCCGAAAATTTGAAAATCGCGCCGGCCGAAAAGTCGCTCAGGGGGGGGGGGGGGGGGCAAGCGGACACTTTTTTTTTTTTTTTGGTCTCGAAATTTCAAAATTTGACATTTTTCTTCGTTGGGGGGGGGGGGGGGGGGGTAAGGTCACCTTTTTTAGGTTAGGGGGGGTTTTGGTTTTTTTTTAGGGGGGTTTACACACATAAAAATACCAAAGGGGGGGTTTGAACCCCCAAACCCCCCCCCCCCTGCGTACGCCTCTGTAGTAATTTGATTTACATATTCTATGACATTTCAATTTCTTTTGTAAAAAAAGAATCCCTTAATATTGGGGGGGGGGGGGGTGGAACCTACATGAACATGTACATGAAGTCAAAGATGTAAAATATTAAAAGTCCTTAAATCTCAGCTTGCGGTCACGCTAAATCCATCTTATCCATCATAATTATTTGGCAATCTCAAGCTGATGAAGACAGGCACGTCCAAGGTCACTCCGCAAATGTTCACGGGGTCGCGTATTAATCCTAGAAAGAAATCTTAACTCCTTGTCAAACAACTCTTTAACCTCTGCCCTTGCAGTCATATTTTGTGAACGTTGTATTTGAGTGGTGAAGTCAGTGAAAATGATAAATACAAAGATTGTATCAATGTTTTATCGGCGCGTTTTTTTTATACTTTGATCGCACTGTTTTTGAATAATTTGATAATATTTTACGTGTTGTTCACCATTATGTGTTGAACGCGACCCCATTTGAGTATGTGGAGTGACCTCCCCTCCCCCACACTCAGTGTTATTTAGGGTACGCATATGCATGTTCCCTCCTTTTGAAAACACCCTCGTAAGTCCAGTGTGTAAAGTCAATACGGGCCGGATTTGTGTGTACTACGAGCCGGACTTTGGTGCGTGAAAAGTACCTCTTTACCGGACATTTTGGGAACATGCATTGTATCCCTCCCTTCACGTAATGGGGGGGGGGGGGGGGGGGGGTAACCTAAATTTGGACGGTGTGGAGGGGTCTCACAGAGAGGGAGAAGGGAGACCACTGGTCTGTTCAAAATGTTCTTTGTACCTTCACCTTATTTCTCTTTTCTTTACTTGACAGTGCTGTCCCGGATACATCAGGACAAACATGACAGCCACCCATACTGGTGAAGATACCAAAAGCATGATCAGCCAAGATCAAGGGGCGGACACTCCGGTCTACTTGTCCCTCCTACCAGCCGGGACGAATGACCTCCAGGGCAAGTTTGTGACCAAGAGAATGGTCAAGAATTACTTCAAGGATGATATTAGGCCAGTTACATTCGAATAAACCACATTCTTACTCCGACAAGTCTTCCTCAAAAAGCTTAAGAATGATCATAATTTAGTGAAATTCAGTGGTATTAAAGATGCATCTGGAATGCAAAAGTTAATTAAATGTATTTTTGACATAATGACCTAATGATGTAGTTCTACCTTATTGTGTTACAATTATGTATTTTGTGTCAGTTCCAGACACTTCATTTCATGCTAATACATTTCTCTCTGCTATAAGATTAAATTTTGAGGTTCTTTTTTTTTAATGTAAGTCTGGAAAAATATCATATTGGAAATATCCACTGAAAAGGACTGCTCTTCAAATGCGCTCATTTTGAATTCTAGTGAGAAAAAGCCGAAAGGTATGGACCAAATCACTGTGTAAATTCCTGCGTGTAAAAACAAGTTTCTTCCAGCAAGGTTGTACATTTTCTTTTCATTTTGATCTTTCGCAAAACTAGCACTAGACATCAATAAATTCTCATGTACATGTACTACATTAAATATACTTTTCCTGCTGCTTTCAGGCAAATCACAATGTGAATCGCATGACCAGTATTCTTTATTTCCATCTCTGTATTTGCTGTGGAGTGAAACCCTAGACTGTATGTTTTAGAGTATATTTAATATACAGTGCGTCCCAGAAAAAACGAAACCGGGAATTATTGATGTTTTATCATAACTTAATCACAATTATAATTAATAAATGACATAGATCCCCCTCTTTCATTAATGCAACTCATAATTATGATGTATTTCACGCATGAGTGATTAAAAAAACAATTTGAAGAGAGGGTACCAAAAATTCATTTGGCGGGCGGTATCTGAATTTCAAAGAGCAAAATCACATTTATCGGAAGTTCATTTTTCTGCCCTGTCATATTATTATGACACCTCAATGAGCAAAAAAATGAGCCAGGAATAACAAAGTTCTGTTTGTTTAAAGACAAAGCGTACTAAAAGATTTGTTGATACCCTCTCTTCATATTGTTTTTAATCACTCAGGCGTGAAATATGCATCCTATGAGTTGCATCAAATGAAAGAGGAGGATCTAAGCGTTACAAATTATGTGTCATTTACTCATATATACATCATAATTGTGATTAAGTTATGACAAAACATCGATAATTCTCGGTTTCGTTTTTTTCTGGGACGCACTGTACTCTATATTGTGACAGAATGTTGCCTGTGGCAGCTCACTATTAGTTCCAGCAGGTAAAGGGTTAAGCTTTAGTAGTTCCGAGTTTTCTCTGAAGGTCTCAAATCAATGAATCAGCTTTTACTCCTCAAATTGGCATCTACTAAAATAAAAATGAAATGTCAATAAAAGGAGATAACCAACTTCTATGTATTAATAGGAAAGTATTCTTAGACAACGGAAAGTACACCTCCAGAGTTTCAAGGGTCCACCTGAATATTCTGGTTTTCATGCAAACTTATTCTGTCAGTTTATAGAAAATTTAGCCGAAGTAGTGTAGGAATTTTTCAATTTTGTTCAACTAACAAAAAGAATAGTTTGAAAAACTGAAAACGTTATTTTGAACAACTGCAATTTGTCACTTTTTTGCACAAAAAATTATAATGTATCATATTCATCATGGTTTATTAATTCAAAAATCACATTGCAGCCCAAAGGCTGAATTTTACGATTTTTTTACAATTCGGTGACATAAAAAACATGAGATTATATTGAACATTGTAAAAAGCATTTAACGTAATATTATATTCAACAAAATTTTTACATTTTAAACAGAAATAGCTCGACATTATAAAATGGTATAAAGGCACATAAATTAATAGATGATCAGATTGAGATAGGGAGAGAGAAAAGGGTGGGAGTCAGAGAGAAGGTAGAGAGAGAAAGAGAAAGATATAGAAAGTGAGAGGGAGGGCTAAAGATAGAGAAAAGGAGGGGAAGGTTTGAGAAAGCGAGAGGGGGGGGGGATAGAGATAGCTCGAGAGAGAGAGAGAGAGAGAGAGAGAGAGGAAGATAAAGGGAGAGAGAGAGAGAGAGAGGGGGGGGAGAGGGAGAAAGAGAGAGGATAAAATAGGAGTAAAGGTACTTTAGAGAAGAATATCTCAAGCAGCGATATGATAGGAAGATTGAAAGAGGGAGGTTGAAAACAAAGGAAAATGGAAAGAGAGAAAGGGGGGGGGGGGAGAGGAAGAACTAGCGTTTGAAGATATAATTTTTTATATATAATATATATATATATATATATAGAAGTTGGAAAGGCTTTATTAGTAAGTGCTGTACAGTCTGTTTCAACCGAAGGCTCATATATATATATATATATATGGGCTTTATTTAGAGAAAAATCTCCCAAATGACCCTTAAAAATGCATTAGGATTTCGAGACTTCAGCGGCACACCCCCGTCCAAACCAAGAAACACGTTATTTTTGATATTTGAAAACAATGTTTATGCATTTCACAGGTGCTTGTTCTACAATGTACCTAAAATCTAGGTCAGTGGGTATCTCACCTGCAGATAATATACAAATCTGACTTCACTATCTTAATCAAACTTGACGACAGCGATCCTATGGGAGAATGGCCCTTAGCAAGACTTTGCAAACTTTTGAGAGACGGCAAGTTTTGAAAGAGGGGTAAATGTCAAGATTTGTTTAACTGGCAGACACTATTGAATACGATTATCAGCTATTATTAACGAATCAATCCATAATTGAGCCATGATTATTTTTCATAATAGTAAATTGACTACAGTACTCGGACTCCTGTCAGCATAATCATTGCTACGTCGGGTAAGCCTCGATCGTGCAAGCTTTCGATCAGGTTGTCAATTAGTATAAGCATTAAGTGCACAAACTTTGTTTAATTAAGAGTATATACTTAATTGATATTTGAAAATTTCAATAAACAGGTCTATTATAATAAGATAGAGAGCAGAGCGCATGGTGATAAAGGTCATTATGCTCCGAGTATGACACAGCAAAATTGAAAAATCTTGTTCCAATCTTTTTCATATAGAATGTTATAGTGAAATTAGAGATCTGCCACTGATCGTAATGCATTACGCGTAGCAATAGTATCCTGTTCACTATATTCTAGCTCAGGGAGGACCGGTTTCAGAATAAAGATGCCTCTAAAAGTCGCTGTTGTAAGTATATCTAGATCTGAACAGCATGTCATATATTCTCTAATTGATTGTAAGATGAGCTTTTCTAGCTCTAATCGGAAATCTTTCAAGCAGTATGCTCGAAATCTAATAATAATATTGAGTCTTTCATGCAACGCTAGCGAAGCACTGTCGCTCCGCCCGTGCTGGCCGGGTGGAGGTCGGTTGAATTATTGCAGACTCTGTGTGCATCGGGCCGGGAATATTAATAATTGTATGAAATTTGTAGTATAATAGTAAATGAAGCAGATGACAAAGACAAAATCAGTAGAACTATATGCTACTTTGATATGCTGCTTTTTATTTTTGTATGAAGGATAATCGATGCAGGGGTCGAGGGGCTGGGGGGTGGGGGTGGGGGGCGGGGTGGAGGTATAACTTTCCTTGGATGCTGGGCATGCGTGTAGTGCTGATTTGCAACAACAACAAAGAAACGAAAGGTACAGATTTGTTCTCATATTTGAGAAAATAGAGGTTGCTGAATATAAAACAGTCTAGATCTAGTACTAGTATGCACCATGCATACTTTTCTTTTGGCCTGCATTATCGAGCAGTTAACAGTACACTTTATTTTTCTGTTTGATATACTACACAGGTAACTGGAAGCAATACCGGAGTTGGTCTTTCCATGGTGCGAGCTCTCTGCAAGCACTTTAGTGAGAATGGGGCGGTATACTTGACCGCTAGGAATGAGGAACGAGGGTTGCATGCCGTGGAAGTCTTGAAGAAAGAGGGTCTCAATCCCAGATTTCATCTTCTTGATGTCAACGATGTAACCAGTATGGAGAAGCTCAGAGATGATATCAAGACTGAACATGGCGGTGTAGACATCCTGGTTAACAATGCAGGAATTTTATCCAAGGTTTGTATTATGACCGACTCTCTAGTCAAAGAAAATCACATCTTGGGAGAATGAATTCATAGGTTATTCTTAATATATAATCATGTAGAGAATTTTTTTTTTAAAATGATGACTTTTTCAGTGTAGTTACAATCTGAAATTTTGTTATTATAATATAGGAGTCCATGAAGTAACTAAAAAGGCGTCATATACATCACAATATATATATCTGGTTTATTTCTTTATTACCGGTATTCTTTTCTTTATAGTTGATCCATTACAAAAATAGAAGTCTTTATATTGCTAAGAGGCTGTGCCTTAAATCTCATTCTTACATTTTGAGATTTTTGATTTGTTGAAGCCCAGCTTACAGCAAGAACATCATTGTGAGTAATACCAGGGGCAGATCCAAGAGGGGCAGGGGGGGGGGGTGCCTTTTTCCTTTTGAAAAAGAAAAAATAGCAGAATATAGAGTTAGAGGGAAAAGAAAGAAAAAAGAGAGAGTGACAAGATTAATAGTCAGACCGTAGACTAAGGGGAACAGCCTACTCCCAGTTCATATAGCAGCTTTCCAGTTGAACCTCTCTCTATTCGCCTACCCCAAAGGGCTGAGCAGAATGCTGCAGGGATAGACTCAAGATGTCAAGATGTCAAGATGTCAAGTGTTGTCAGAGACACTCTCAGTAGCAATAGAGATGAGGCAGATAGAGAGTACAACATCATCTTTAAGAGGAGCGAGAGGATGACTGAAATAGCTGGAACCAATACCGACCGATTGAAACATCGACAGGGTACGTACCACCCAGGCATCGCTGGGGCTCTACAGCCTAGTTCTCCAAAAATTGTTGGGTGATGCCTAAATTCCAGCAGCGACCGAGCAGGCTGCAAATTGGTCGGTCGCCGCTCTTGAGTTGTGACCATAGCTTTTAGTAAGTGAAATATTAAAATTTGTTTTCCATTTTCTCTTGTACAGGATAACATCCCATTGTATGAACAGGCAGTAGAAAGTATCAAGACTAACTACCACGGTGTGCTTCTAATGACCAACACATTCCTACCTATTATCAGAGATGGTGGAAGGTAAGATTCAAATAGCTACCGGTATTCAAATTGTGATTCCATATACTGACAAAACCAAACTAAAACATTTGCGTGCATGAAATATTAATGAATTTTGTGAGTAGTTCTGATTAACAAAGGTTTCACGCTGTGAAGTAATTGAATCACAACGTTGAATTTTGCAATTTGCAAAAGTTTAGGATTTCAGTATGTTGTAAGGGAGCTGGCTGGCTGACTGACATGATGAAATATTGTTGCTTTATGAAACAGTTTATCAAATAACAACACCTCATTCAGATATGATACAGCCATATTTTTTATGATAATGTACAGTGTACTACGCTTCACATTTTTTTATCTTATAAGCTAGAGCTCAAGTGATACGCGTAGGACCTTTAATTCACTTGGTTGCCATTTATTACGCTTAGAAAATGCAGCAATTTTCTTTCGTGGTGGGTTTCATTGGCAATCTGATCAAGCCTTGAGGTAGCTCACATTCTTTGTTTATCAGAACATGATCTCGACCTTCTCTTTCTAACTTTTTGATCACTTTGGATACAGGGTAGTACATCTAGCCAGCTTGGTGGCCGCTAGGACGTTCTACAATATCAGTGAAGAACTCCAGCAGCGCTTCAAGGAGGTTTCGACTGTAGAAGGTGTGACAGGCCTCATGGATGAATTCATTGAGTAAGTAGACTATTAAAGGGAGCGTAGCTAGACAAATACTGGTTAACGCCATCTACATCTTCTTTTGGACAACTGCACGTAAAAAAATAGACTTGATGAACGATAGTCAGCAACTTAATCTCTACATGGTCAGCGTTCGCCAAACAAACCAAAGTTCTCTTCACGCTTTGGTTTTGTGTATGTTGCACGCTGTGGTCGCGTCATCCGTAGTCGTCTGATACCCGATTGGCCCTGAGTCAGGCCACAGGAAAGCCACTCAGTCTCGTCAGGCTACACTCCCTTTAACACTTTGGTTGCTTTCTTTTCCTCTCTGTTCAGTCGCTTGTTTGCCATATGTCCAATTTTGCACAAAACAGTAGGCACCAATTGACAGATTGCCTTGTGCAACACAATGGCTTAGCAAAATTACCAGTCTTGATTAGCTGCATGACACCATTCTTGGTATAGATAAGTCTTTCATTGGACTTATCTTTAACTTAAACCTGTAGTGGCCGAATGAACTTTAAAGGTGCATAATCAGTTGTTGTGATTATGCTCACCTAGATGGATGCATTCTAATATTTAGATGAACATATTCTTATATCTGGAAGAATGCATTTTTGTTTACCTATGGTTTCTGAAATGAATCCAAGGATGTGTAAAAGAAGTTCACATTATGGCCAGGTTTGCTTGGATTTTTTGTACACGTATACCAAGTTATCACAATAACATTTTATCAGTAATTGTAAATCATAATTTGTTTGTTTTATATCTGATTGTATCAGTAATTTAATACTACTGTTCTCTTCTGACTTCAATGAAATCATGTAGCACTCATCATTATTTGTATAACTACAAGTGTATAAAAATATAGTTGCCCTGCAATTTCTTTTTCTTTTTCGCAGGGCATCTAAGGAAGGAGACCCCACAACAAAGGGCTGGCTAGATTTCGCTTATGGGATCAGCAAACTTGGAGTGGCAGGCCTCACCAAAGTCCAGGGTGAAAACGTGAGCAAGGATACAAGCAAGAAAGATGTCCTCATCAATTGTGTAAGTAACTCTTAAGTTTCTTCTGTGACCCTTCTGGAGCTTTCAATTGCTCTGTAGTCGATTTCGGCACTATAACTAACCATATCCCAAGACCAAACACTATACCTAACCCTAACTATGGACCTCCTAACTCAATTACAACCGTACCCTAGCTGCCCTTAATCCATGATCACATGGCTGTGTATCTCTCTGCATCTGCACAATTTTTAGAAGGCAGGCACAGAACGCTAGCGCCTGCGGGAGATTTTTCGACATGTCCAATAATCCATGCATGGCTACGTTTTTTGTATGAATGCACATATGACACGTGCAGCCATTGTACTTCTTTGTAAACCGCAAGGGCTAATTGCGATGGTCTACAGAGCCGCATGGCAAAGTACACAGCCATACGCAAGGGCAGTTGCAAGATATTTGCACTGCAGTTAGGGGTTCATCTCAAGGACTATTGCAGGCAAGGGGGAGAATGTTTCTGAGGAGGATGCAAAGCGCCCACGGGGGGGGGGGGGGGTCGTAAGAAGGTCGTCATATCATAATCATGGAAATTCTCCTACCACCCGACCGTAGCTGTAGACACGAGCATGCGAAAAGACGCATGGTAGGATGTGACCATAGTGTTATATCTTTTACAGTCTAGAGCAAGTGTCCCCAGCACATGTACGTCAGGTAACCTTCAACTTCCAAGTAATACATGTACATGTATGTGTAATCTACCAATCTCACAACAAACATCTTAAAGTGGTCGAATTGTATAAATCTACTCTGTTAAAAAAAAAGGAAAATTTAAGTGAAAATAAAAATGGTTTTCAAACTGTTTTTTCGTTTCTTTACCTGACAGTGCTGTCCCGGATACATCAGGTCAAACATGACAGCCCACCATACTGGTGAAGATACGAAAGGCATGATCAGTCCAGACCAGGGTGCGGACACTCCTATCTACCTTTCCCTCCTACCGGCCGGGACGAATGACATCCAGGGCAAGTTTGTGTCCAAGAGAACGGTCAAGAATTTCTTCAAAGATGATATTAGGCCAGTTACATTTGACTAAACCACATTCTTTGCCTTCTTAGTCTGGCAAGTCTTCCTCAAAAAAGCTTAGTATCATCATGTAGTACAATGTAGTGGTATGTATCTGGAATGCAAAAGGCGCCAAAGTTAGACTGCTTGTTAATTTAATTGTTAATTTAATTATTAATATTATTATTTGTTGACATATCTAAATAAGAGTCGAGGTAACATCAAGATAGTAAGCAAATAATTACCATTGGTGAAGGTGATGGGACAAAATAGTGATAGACTTCAGAGGCGATCTGGATGTAGCTATTTTTCCAAAGCGAAGCTGAGGAAAGATATAGCACATTCTGATCGCAGCTAGAGGAAGTGATAGTTGGCCATCGCCTGAAACCAAAAGGTGATTATTTGCTTTATATGCCACATCAGAAACATTTCACTTCTTCCGTCATTTTAGAGCAACAAGTTGTCAATTAACAGCTAGCAAACGGTGTATGATACGTACAGTGCATGCAGTACTTACATACGTAGGTATACGCAACGTATACAATCTTTAATGAAACTGTGTTGCACTGTATAGATAGTACTACTATCTTCAGTGAAAGTGCGTTGCACTGTGTAACAAACTTTTCTTCTCCCATCAATGATGGGCGAACTATCTTTCATCACGTGATAAACTTTTGACCAATCGTAGAGCATGATTCTTAGTATGTGGAATATAATACATGTATTTACCAGCTCCTTGTCCTAATGATATTCTGTCAGTCTCAAGCAAATTTAGCCAAAGTTGCATAGAAATGTTTTTAGAGTTTGTACAACTCGAAAGCTTCCGGTACTCTGAGTTTTTAGTTTAAAACAACTCAGAAACATCTTTTTTTCCGACTGAAATGTCATTTTATTCCAAAAGTATTATCATCTTTCATTCTGTAACATTATACTAATAAATATTGTACCAATACTTAAGAAATTCTATAGAATACAACAGTTTTTGAGAAGCAATCACAGGAACTTTAGAATTGGTGCTTGCCTTTATACTGCTATATTGATCTGAACAAGAGAGGGGGCTATGATTCAACAACTTGCTGTGAGTGAATAGCAAGATAGCTAGTCATGTTGATTCAGCCAAGCACTTAACAAAAGAATGTGTGCTAAATTGCGTACACATACTTCACCTGAGTTGGCAAAAATCTGTATAGATGGCTCTTGGAAAATCTTCTTTGCAGTCAGTACTTTATCATTCTGAGAGAAATACTTGTAATTATGAAAAGATGGCTGTAGAATCAGAAAATTTCCTGTGCATTCAAAGTTTCATTCTGCAAAATGGATTTTGAACACCTCGGTTTAGAAATCAGTTAGAAATGCCTCACCTTCCATTTGGAATAATTTACCACAGTGCATTCATCTGTATAAAAACCTTTTATTGTTTAAAAAACAGCTGGAATCTAATTTTTATTCTAAATATGATTGATATATATTACTTACCTGTATTATTTGATTTATATTGTTGTTCCCAGTAGTTTTTTCTTAAATCATCCTTTGTTATGTGTAGTTTGAGCACTCCTAAAATGTATTATTTAAAAACTAAGATAATTGTAAACTGCAAAGCCTTATACAGGCTTTTTTGTCTTTATACATGACATAATTTTAATGATTTGTATTTTTTTTAAATATTGTATATATGTTATACGTTTATTGTATTTTGATACGAATAAACAAAGGAATGAACAACTCAGAAGTGTTATTTTAAGCAACTGAAATTTGTTGCTTTACTGAAATTTACTGCAAAATTATCAATCGCAATTGACACAACACTAAATTTCTGTAATTTCTGAAATTTACTTGCATGTAAATCAGTGTCCTTCATGTCGTAAAACTCTTAGGTAGTAAAATTTTCTGATTTATACAGTAATCCATCATAAAAGTTTGACTTGGTTCAACAAAGGCCAAGTCTTATTTAGAGCTTATGTTTAAAACATGCATATTTTTGTTGTTGTAATTGGCTATGGTAATTGGTCTGAAAGTACTTGTTTAATTTTGTTTATACGGTTTCCATGTACCAGGTATAAATGTTCATTTCTTATTCTACCTTATCTCTGAAACCTTTTTTGGAGCACACAAACTTTTGTATGTTAGGGCTGTGCCCTGCTTGCTATATAGCTTCCTTTTCTTCTTCCCTTTATTTTTATTTCTTCTTCTTCTCCTCCTCCTTCTTCTTCTCCTTATGAAAACCTAATATGCAAGAGTTTATCCACCACTGTTGAATTTCAAACTAAATGATCCTCACACAATTCTTGGTGTCTGCTGTCTTAAGATGGAGTGTTTTTTAATGAGAGAAACTTTTATTATGCAAAGTCATCTAGAAAAGTTAAAACTGTAGTCTTTCATGATGCTCCTGGGCAATTTTCCTTTCAGTTATCTTGGATGAATATTTTAATTGTCTTTTAGGTTTAGTTTAGGTGAATATACACATGTATATTATTTTTTTAGAGTATTAATTTGGTAGGTATTGATCATGAATTAGTTATAGTTGTGTTGTCTGATACTGCGTATCCTGTATCTGTGTTTGTCAATAGAATTGACATAACTTGTTTTTCTAAATTCCATTCTAAATGGATGAGACTTAGTCTGCTTAAAACTGTGTACCTGTTCATTTTATACATGTATCTCCTAAATCATGTGACTGTCAAAAATAATTCTTAATTTAATTTATTTGTCTTTCCAAACTATTTTAAATGGATTGGACTCTATTTGGATGCACTTAGCTTTAGTGTATTGTCGAATGAATGTTCAATAGTATTTTCAAAATGTTTTTGTATCTCCTGAAATAGTTCACATGTGAGCAATATAGTTTAGCGCAAGATTTTAGTTGAAAATAAAGTACTACTTTTTTAGCATCTTATGCTGTTTGATTATTTGAGTCGTTTTTGCACAATTTATTTATTTTAAATCTGTTCTTTGACAAAAATAATATAAAGCCATATTAAATTGCTTGCCACTTTATGGAGATCAAAGTGATTGAGAGATGATGGTGAAGGGAGGGGGGGGGGGGGTACCATATCTATATTAAATGGCGATCCAACCTTTTCCAAGATAAATTGTGTGAAAACAAACAAAAAAAACCCAGAGAAAACAACTTTGTTAACGATTGATAAGTGATCAGATAAATGACAAGGAAGCCATGAATCTATGAAAACGGAGATCCATATATCTACGCCTTTTTCTTTAACATATTTTTTTTCCTCACTCTCAAATGGCAAAGAAAATAACATCCGATTGTGGGCTTTTGTGTGAAAAAATCCATTAACTTTTCGCATGTAAACGTTGCTAACCGTTTGTTTGTATTTGCCGTTCAAGGCGCGTGAAGGGGCGGGGAAAACAATTGTAAGGTTTTTTTAGAAGAGGAAATGTTTACTTAGTCTAGCGTGTGGGCCGGGACTTAGGAAAAAGGAGGAAAGTCTACTTTCTTTAATCAAGCTTTTCTTGTCTTGTATCAAACTTGTACCCGCACACCCAAAGTGCTACTGTCTTGTGGGCGACTACTTATTCTGTCTATATAATTGTTACTATGAATATTAACCTTGCTATTAAAGTAGAAATAATTATTTAATCAATCACAGGCCATTCGTTTATTTTAAGCAAAAATATGATGTCTTTTTGTTATTTTTCATTTACTTAAATTCCAACATGCACCTCTTTGCGGAAAGTACATATTATGTGAATGAAAGTGATAGATAGCTAATGTTACATTTTAGGAAAAACGGGGAAAAAAACAACAAACCAAGCAAACAAACAAACAAATTAAACCGTTCCGCAAGTCCTTTCTATTATTTATTATTTATTATTTATTAGTCTTTTTTTTTTATTAGGGCTCTATCAGTAGTTAAATACTTCCTGGACAACACAGTTAAAAGAATAGACTATCTAGGACTTACATTTTTAAAAGCAACCCAAATCCCCCCAAAAAAGAACAGAAGAAGGAGAAGAAGAAGAAAAGAAAGAAGAAGAAAAGAAAAAAAGAAAGAAAGAAGAGAAGAGAGAAAGAAGAAGAGAGAAGAAAAAAAAGAAAGAAGAAGAAGAGAAAAGAAGAAAGAAAGAAAAGAAGAGAGAAAGAAGAAGAAGGGAGAAGAAGAGAAAAAAAGAAAGAAGAAGAAGAGAGAAGAAGAAAGAAAGAAGAGAGAGAGAGAGAGAGAAGAAGAAAAGAGAAGAAGAAGGAGAGGAGGAGGATTGAAGGAGAAGGGATGAGATATATATTCATCTCGTTTTAAATTTAATCATGTTGTTCATCATGTGGGGGAGGGAGGGGATGGGGGGGGGGGACACTCCCGGCCCCCCCCCCCCCACTCAGAGGTCGGAATGACCGCATGCGTGTTGCCAAAATGTCCGGTAAAGGGGTACTTTTCGTGCGACAAAGTCCGGCCCGAGATTTGTAAAAAAAGGGGTGTATTTGACTTTTCACCCGGAGATTTCTTTAAAAAGGGGGTGTTTTTCTTTTTTTCTCTCATCTCTTTGGACTCCTGAGAAATTATTCCGAATTTAGGGGGGTACATTGAGCATTTTTCCTGATTTAGGGGGGTCTCCAAGGCAGGAAAAGCCCGCAAAAAGCCCGCGAAAGGGGGGTTCGGAAATGTTGGCAGTCCTCAGATAGGGGGTGCTTTCAAAAAGAGGGTACGAGCATATGCGTACCCTAAATAACACTGAGTGGGGGGGGGGGGGCCGGGGGGACACTCATCTCGCTCTGTGAACGAAAGACGAATTAACCAGTGCACCATAATGGGAGTGTGCAGGAGGGGGTCCTATCATCTTTATATTGTTATTCCTTTTCCTATTCTCCTTTCCTCTTCTTCCCCTTAATGTATATGAATACTTTCTACTCGCTTGGGGGGGGGGGGGGTGGGGGGTGTCATTTAACCCGCATCCAGTCCAAAAACTAATAAACGATTACGCACATATTTTACATACGAAAGAATAAAAACTAATAACCAACTAACAAAGAGTTTTAGGACGTTTTTTTTACATCCTCATCGTCTCCGTATAGTAACTGACAAATAAAAATCTTGCCAAATGTTACCAATTTCATCCGAAGCAAGTCGTATATCAAAAGAAAAGGAATGAGAAAAGTCGTTATGTTTACAGAACGTGCTAATATTGACAAGGAAGGTATCAGGATTAGAGGAATGCACCAAGTCAATTTATTCGAGGGATACCACATCGAAGTATTGGTTTTGAAGGAATGGAGAAAACAAAGCTCGCGTGGATGAAGCAATTAGCAAGGGAGTGTAACAGGTGTTTGACCAGTCGCGTGGCGGACACGAGTGGGATGGATCGAGAGAGTGAAGAAAAGAGGGATGGAGGGAGAGAAAGAGGGGTTGGGGACGGAAGGAGGGATGGAGAGAGGGGATGGAGGTAGAAAAGAAGGGATAGAGGGAAAGAGGGAAGGGAAGAGGAAAGATAGAGAGGGAGAGAGGGATGGATGGAGAAAGGGGAATTACAAAAAAGAAGAAGAAGAAACAAGAAGAGAGGGCAAGTGGTAGGGGAAGGGAGAACCAGGATTGAAAGAAATAAAATGGGAGAGGATGACAGAGAGAGAGAGAGAGAGAGAGCGAGAGAGAGAGATGGACAAACATAAAGAGGAACAGAGAGACGAGGTTCAAACTTGCATCCCCGAAATAATGACGAATACTTTAAGCTGCTTTCCATTTTTCTCTTTCTATCTTCTCTTTTCCTCATTTCCCTTCTTGTTATCTCTCTATTTTCCTTCTGTTCTCCTCTACCCGGAGTATATAAAAGGCTCATCGTATTTGATTTACAATCGGGGTTCGGAATGAAGGTACTTTTCTCAATTTTGTAATGATATTTTGCATCAGATTTCAATATAATAATAATATGACTTTTTTTCCATACACGCAGAGCTCAGGGCGTCTTTATAACATGGATTACAAAGAGAATGACAACAATTACTTAATTTACGAACTTGTTTGTTGCTCAAAGGATTATAACAGAAAAACAAGAATAAACACTGTTTTCACCGATTTCATTCAAACGTAAAGGAGTCAAGATCCTCTTACATTGAGCACAACAAAAAAGGTGATTCTGGAAAAAAAGAAAGTTTGGACAGACTTTGAAAAGTGAAAAGCACGGCGGGATTAAGGTGAGGGCCTGAGGGGTCAGAAAAGGCGCTAAAAGGATGGTCTCTAACTTATCTCTATGAATACCGGTAGTACTTCAAAGTGTAAAGAGTACTTGAGTTCAAGCAGCTAAGTGGCAATCGTTTAAATAAAAATGACCCTCTTTTAAACTCCAATGGCCACGCGACTCGAGTGTTTAATCTCTAACAAGCCACTTGTTGCGCAAACAACAAAAGTGAGAGTATTTTCCGATCAAATATGCTCAGCTCTTTAACATCACAACAGAGGTTCTCTTAATTACATAATGTATCAACGTACATCGTGTGACAGGCATTCATTAGGAAAGTTTCGTAGTTGTTTTTCTTACCCCCGGGAATAATATTTTTAAAATTCTTTTCTCCATAAACATACTTCGTACTTGATGCTGTGTGAAACAAAATCCTATTCCATCACAATGTAATTGTTCTTGCGCGATAAAAGAGATTTTGATTAAATTACATTTAAAAACAGTTAAAACTCATTTTTATCAGCACAATGAGAAGAAACAAAACCCCAATTTGCCTGAAATGTAGGCTATACTTGAGTAAAAGGCGTGATCGAGAAGTGTGCCCATTCACATTCAAAGGTTTAAAAGAGAGAGAAAGTTAAGACTGAATTTTAAAATGAAGATGTTCGGAGTCAAGAAAAGAGCAATTCGTTTTGGATGTATGGATTAGTGGACGTCGATCGGCTTTCTCGCGTACAGTCACTAAACAGCTTTTTTTCTTGATCTTTTTTTAAATCGTCTTTAAATGAATTGAGGAACGGAGTTGGTGTGATTTTGCTGATGAGATGTTATCTTAAATAAAATAACCGGACGAACTCCATAGTGGGCACTTTCAGAGTTGAAAGAAAATTGCGCCTTCATGATTATTGAAGATACATGTAGTTATATTCTTCTTTGATGAATTTATCGCCTCTATTTGTCATTTTAACAAAGTAGGCCTACATCATCGCCATGCTGAAAACAGAATTGGATTAAACATTTTCCACTCCGACATCATTTGCCACCATGGCCTTTGCTGAACTAATCAACTTTGCTGTTTTATGTTGAGAATTCGGTTTGTGCAGCGAAACTTTTGAATGAAGCGTTAATTTTGATCATAAAAGAATTTACAGCAAACAGACTTATTGAATGATAGGACTCGTTTGCTAATTTTGATTCGTCAGTTATTTTTAGTAACAATAATAATGCTGGGATACAAATGTGATGATATATGTTAAGTGTCTTTATGAACAAGATTTCAAGTGAAAAACCGTATAATAAATTATTTATTCATATATATAAGTTGACAACATGGAAGAGCAAATCACCGCAAATCTTTTTAATTGCTCTATCATGAATGCTATGCCCTACGACGATGATAACTTTGAGTCGCCATCGACATCACCACCTACATACGCCGAGCTCACACCCGCTGTCAATCACACTTTCAATCACGGCAACATCAATTTTGATCACAACACCAGTTACGACGACGGCAACATAAGATATGAACACGACAACAGCAACCATAACTTTGACGAACAAGTACCCTTGAGCACCGCGCATCTTCTTGACATCTTATCGACGACGGATGTCGACATCAACAATATCGCAAATGACGGGGAGGAAGAGGGAAGCGACGAGGGGAGCGAACTCGCAGCGTATCTCTTTCAGAATTCGGAATGGATTACGAATAACGCGACTTTAGACGATTCTCAATATTCAACTGCAGTTAACGGTGACCCGCAACACTTTCAGAGTTGCTACACGAATAAGTCCATGGGCTATGGCAACACTTCGTTCAACAGCAGCTATCATGAGGCTCACACCTTGCCACAAGTACCTTATTTTGGACATACTGATACTCAACATGCTCAAGGTGGGTTCTCAATAAATGTTTGTACCATTACGTAGCTGTTCATGGAACATAGTAGTCATATAGACGGTTACGAATCATTTTATGTATTAACAGAGATTAAACTGCATGTATATGCAATAGTTGCCAGATAGAAGCTGAGGGGCAGAAGGGCGGGGAAGGGGGGGGGGGGGGTTGGTTGGATCCGAAGTGGTTTACATGTAGATGCTTCCCTTTATATTTTCATATTCTCCAATTGATCTGACTATAGCAGCATGAAAATAAAAATAATCGAAAAGTTAAATGGTTACACATTGCAAAAGGAATTCAAATTTGGCACATACATGGGTGGGCATATTTCTTTCTGTATATTTCTTCTTCCAATGTTCGCTTAGGCTTTGCCGGGGAAGGGGGCGAGAGGTGCGTGCCCCGTGCTCTCTGGATCTGATAATGATCATGTATTCAATTTATAGTTTTAAAACCATGCACATAATTTTAATATTTTGTCTTCAGCAATATCAAGTGGAATCACCATTCGATTCACAATTTCAAAATTTTTCTTACGTTGCAGTATCAAACGACACGAGCGGAACCTTTTCAAATCAGCCTCAGCCGACGAACGAGCATCATCTTCCTTTCCAAGTGCACAATCTGCCGAAAACGAGGGGGAAGACGACCACGAAGCCTCGACGTCGCGTCGTCACCGCCGGTCAGCGGACAGCCGCTAACGTCCGTGAACGACGTCGGATGTTCGGCCTAAACGATGCCTTCGACAACCTGCGCAAAGAGGTGAGATTATAGATTTGTCTCTATCAGCGTATGAGGTGGGGGTAACGATTGCCCGAATATTAGTAGCTCCAAAATAAGCGAGTCCGATAAGTTTGTTGGACTACTAAATATTAAGACAACCATCACGTCATATTTAGGCAAACGTATATTATTAGGGCCGGGTGATCTCTTTCTTAAAAAAATTTAAAAAATAAGATTCTTGCCTGTATTTTTTTTTGCCGTTCAGAAATGCTTGAACAATGGTGTGTCCCCTTCGTGTTTTAAAAGCGGTTTTCACCCATTCTCTGTTTAATACCAATATTCTTTCCATGTGCAGAATATATTCTATTGTCTTCATTAGATAGCAAACAGGCCTACACCATGTATCTACAACAGTTGCACTTCATCAATGAGAACTTATCGCTAACCAACGTCATTCAAATCATAGCCCAGATTGCTTATTTTTAATAGAAAACGCTGGGCAAGCCTTTTTGTTTCATGCTATTCTTGGTTCATCTAGATGGAAGACCGCTTAGCAGTTAAATTTCTTTAATTCAATAACAAGTTAAACAGTTATAAACGGAAACCAAACCACTGGGGTTTAAGTCCTCCCGGATAAACTACATACATGTACGTCTTTATGCGATTTCGTCCTCCTCATTGCTTTGAAATTTGTTATAATTAACACGATGTGGAAATGTGTTTTATCATCTAACATATTTTGTATCACCTGATAAACTGAAGTGTGACGTATTATTCTCTATCACAGGTGCCGAAGTTCAAACACGAGAAGCGCCTATCTCGAATCGAGACGCTGCGATTAGCTATTCTCTACATCGAGTTCCTAGCCGACATCGTCACGCGGAAGAACAACGTCAACGATGTCGAGTGTTCTAGCGGTTGATTTACGGTGATAGCATGTATGTACATCTAAATAACATGTAAGGAAATCGCTGGAGGGGTGAGGAGTTATGCTGAGACACGGTGGCGTTACTACAAGGGGGGGGGGGCACACGGGGCCGGGGGTATGTGCCTCCCGATAGAGTAGTGACAAAAAGAAATAAGAAATAAAGAGCGAGAAAAGCGAGAAAAGGGAAGGGGAAAGGAAAAACGACGACAAAAGAAGACGCCGGGACTAAAAGTAAAGTACGGTATCTATACAATGTATCTATTACGAGTTTTTCTTCTTCTTGCAATGCATTATGATTTTAGTCCTTAATTATTTATTTAATAATGGAAATAGATTCAGTTAAAGTGTGCAAATTCAACATTTTGAGTCAGTATATGTTCCCCTCGCGATTAGAAAATAGAATAAGTCTACATTTATTCTTGTTCAGACTTTCCAAGAAGATTTTGGCTGTGTGTGTTTGTATTTATTTGAGTATTGTGTTATAACAATTGCGTACAAGATGTATGACGAAACGCATGTTATGCATATTTATGATGAAAAATATATATTTCGTATAATCACGAAAATATGAGAATACTAATACAGATTGTGTTCATTGTTTATCCTGACGTGCGATATGTTATCAATAAAAGAGAAAAAAAGACCAAGTATGTGAGGATAACAGAGAAAGAGAGAGAAAGAGAGAAAGAGAGAGAGAGAGAGAGAGAGAGAGAAATAAATAAAAAGAGCAAGAGAGAGAAAGTTTGTTGGGGAAAGAGACTACAGAAAACACAAATCCGACACGCAGAAAGATGGAGGAAAAAGTAAAGAAAGGAGGGAGGGGGTCGCAAGGAGCAAGCAAATGCATGATAGAAACAGCAAGAAAAGGTGTGGGAGAGATAGAAAACATAGCAAGAGAGAGAGAGAGAGAGAGGGGGGGGGGAAGGCTTAGCTTTCAAAGGTACCCTCTTTGAAGGAGACAATACTTCAGCTTCTTTACCAAAGTTTATCTGATAGATTCGATTAATACGATGCACAGGCACCATATCATAAACATCACGACTCTCTCTCTCTCTATCTCTCATGCTTACTTTTTCTTCCTCCCACCCATCCATCTTTCTGTCTCACTTTCTCCTCTTTTACTCACCCCCCCCCCCCCCACTCTGTATCTCCCTACCTCATCTAACCAGAAATTACACCAAAGCAACTGGCAAATCTAGTTTTAGTTTTCATTTTATTCTTTATAAAATCAACAGGCATACATGAATCTTGTTAATTTTTTAAACTGATCAAAAAGAATCAGTATATAAATGAGTACTGTATAACTAATCAAATGCGTAATTATATATCAACTTTCCAATAAAGCATATTTGTATATGTGTACATCTATATCAAAATAGCCTATTATATCAATCCAATATACCGGTATTCATCTAAAATCTACAATACAAAATTTCATATTACCCTAATGATCATGCGAGTTCCTTGCATAATTGTCCAGCGATAAAGTATATTTGTAAACTAACTTTGATTAGTTCAATTCAAAGATTTTAAAATTTTCTTCTCTTTGATCATTATTTCAAAAATAAATCCCTCTTTTTTGATATCATGACGTTGTTCTTTACGTTAGATACATTTATATTTCAAGTTTTTATAAACTACACAAAACTATTTGCACTTTATAGTACTACCAAGCATGACATATTTAACACATTCATGACTTTTGACACATTAACATCTACATGATACTTTGTATCAGAGAGCTTACAAATAAATATTCAAGTAATTGAATAGAAACAAATGAAAAAGGGTTTTTGCGTCCAATGGCAAGACAAAATCATGCACTTAAATACATTGCTAGGACCAACATTGACGGTCTCATGAACATCAACATAAGCTGTATGGTAAAAAGAACGGTATCTACCACATAGATCAATGGCAACTTCAGAGGCTCTACCAAGGCTATTATAGGAGTTGTGAGTTTCTGATCGAATGGAGGAACTTACGATCCTAATCAATCGCAACGTTTTATAAGACAGAGCTCCAAACAATATAATCATCACTTGCAAAAGATATGAAGAAACACATCTACAAACTGAGTTTGAAACACATTGTCAGTTGAGAGAAAAAAGGTATAAACTCTATGTAAAAGTATGAAATAATCCTCTTTTGACTCAGAACAGTTGAATTATATAACCTTCTAAATGTACAGCACTGTGAGTATCTAACAAATTCTACTTATATTCAATACATGAAGGAAAATTAAAAAAGCTAAATGGAATAATGCAAACAACTCATATAATGGTCCAATTCATAATGAGATCGAAACAAATAGAAAAGGAGGACGAGGCAAATAATTAGCATGAATATTCATGAATTAAACAACAAATCCATGTTTACATATAAATCATATGTATGCAGAAATATCATCTCACATTTAAGGTTTGTAAAGTCGGAAACTTAACAAACTTTAAAATATTTTAATCTTACTTATGACAGCTGTTTACGTATAATTCAATATATTAGTTAGTAAGTACAATTCATACAATTTGAACAGATCTTTAATCGATCCTGATATTCAATTTTAGCACACATTGAAGCAGAGAGAATAATATTCTCTAGTTTATCACAACTCATTTGACCAGAAAATAATCCTGTATATCATTATGAACAAATGTAAAACAAATTAAGAAAGATTGAAGCTTAAAGAGAAGGTTGAGTTCTGGGATGAGGTGAAAATAATTTGTGAGCGTTATCATTGTTATTATGCAAGCCAGGAAGATCATCAGGAAAAAAATGTTCTCTGAAAAGCATGGCTCTTCAAATACCTTCATATTCTAAATATGACATGTAACATCACAAAAATGAGGACCACGTGTAGGTAGCCTATTGGCCCAACTTATGAAATTGTGCAATGATCAAAATGCTATAGGGAAATACAATTGAGCAAGGTTTGCGGTTGCACCACTTATTCTTTCGACAGGGTTAGTTGCACCTAAAAAGGACCCACTCATGCTCTATCTCTATAGTATATGACTCCACATAAATCAGTCATTCAAATAAAAATACTAGTAGTGCAAGGTGATTTACATGTATTCGTACTACAGAACCATACTTTGATTTGAGGAACATTACTGTTCATTACTGTAGAAGATATACAAGTTCGTATACAGATTGCACTGACTTCATAAGCTACATGTATATGAACAATTTTAAGGCAGTTGATAACAAGTTTGTCATTTTACAAGTATGTATGTCAACAATTCAGACATTACTGACTCAATTTCATCACACTAGTCCTTGGATAGAAGGCAATATTATTCCATCAACATTTTACAGTTTTTATCAAATTAAATTAATCAAAATATTCAACCTTGTACATGTGTTACATGACCTTTCTTACACACAGATTTTGGAATGTCTGGTTAAGTACATATTATTCATAAATAATTTCAAGTCTTTGAGACTTGAAAGAGTTGTTCCCACGTCTAAATATAGACAAGGAATTATTTTGTATATATATATACAATGTATGGTCACATCATTCAGTTGTTAAGGCATTAGGAAAGGATTAACATGGTTTCATTCATATGAATGAAGAATATACAAACTAAAAAAGAAAATATACATGCCTTAACCCATCACTTGCTATGGTCGACAAATGGACCAAACAGTGGACTGCCACAATCAACATTTTTCACAAGTACATGTACAAACGAAATGGAACTACATGTGTACATGCATATTCCAACTAATATGGCAGTCCATTGTTTTAATCCATACATGGGTATTAAAAAAGGAGTAAGAACTATAGTCCAGGTTGTTTTAAATCCCACCAAGTGGAAAAATAAGGCAACATATTTTATGGAGCGCTACTTCTCATCCTCCAGTAAATCGGTAAATAACACACAAAAAGTCATTACCAAATCAATTTTTATCTTCATTTCATAAAGGATTCATTTTGTTCATTGATTGTGTATTAAACATAATTATTTTGTTCATTCATCAAATTACAGAATTACATTAATTTTTGTCCAGAATAAAGAGATTGACACTTGGTACTTCATACATCAACAGACTATTAAAGCCCCACTGCACTACTTATAGCTACTTGTGCCCTCTATATAGCAAGCAATGCCTTATTGGTGACCATTGATCCCCATGGTCTCCTCTTTCTTATGTTAATGGAGAGCTGATTTGATGAGATAACCACCTGCCAGTGACCATCCAGGGAGGTCTAATCCCTCCTGGCCAAACTAGTACAGATAGGCTTTAAATTAAAGCCCTACATCCCCTCCTCCTGTAAATCGGTAAATGACACAAATAAAGTCATTACTAAATCAATTTTTATCTTCATTTCATAAAGGATTCATTTGATCATTTACTGTGTAACAGAATTATATTTTGTTCATTCATCAATTTACAGAATTTGATTTTTTCAAGAATAAAGAGATTGACACTTGGTACTTCATGCATCAACAGACCATTATCAAAGTTTCATGAATATATTAAACCTATAGAGATTAAGAGTTAACAAGGATTTCAGACTAAAGGCGTAGGTTACCAGTCTCCTTAGCTCTCAATGCTGGGCCACTGTAGTATAAAGTCATGCTGATCCCTCTGAAAGACTGGTTCATCAACACCCGTCGGCTGGACACGTATCTTGCGTTGCTTCTTGCCCAGCTGACACTGCAGGTTGTTGCTGACGATGGTCCGGATTTCACGTTTACGCTTGCTGGAAGGGGACAGAGAAGAAAGAAGTAGTCATTCAAGGGTGATCCAGCTTTTCTAACCAGTTTGATTGAGGTGAAAATTGACAACAGCGTTTTCAGTAAGACTACAACATGGTGTTACCGAAATCCTCAATTTGTGAATACTCACACATCATGGAAACCTACAGAGACGGAATATCGAAAATGGAGAAGTCAGAGAATTACCCTTAGGCCTTTAAAAAAAAGATGTTGTATTGACCTTTGTGACCCTATCCCCCCCCCCAAAAAAAAAAAAAAAAAATTGCTTCTATCAACACAGGTGAAGAGAATGAGCACCCAGCAGGAAGAAACTCTTTGAATGCTGCAGCACCTATCATGGTAGCCAGACTAAAGGTTGGAAAATAAGATACACTGTATTGTGTACAAAGCATAGCAGAATATATTTGTATAACAGCTCCCCTTTATGAATGCACCTACATTTTTGTTTTTCCCTCTGAGAAGCCTTCGTAACGTACCACGAGCGAGTTTCTCAGGAAAGGGCAAAAGAAAGAGGACAGGGATCGGATATCTAACATGATATCATTATCTCCCCCTTTTATTGTTGGTATTTTAAGAAGAAGAGATATATACAAATATATATACATGCATATTATGTGAGTATATATACGTAGATTTTAATTCAAAACAATTTTTTTTTTTTAGTATTCAGCAATGATGGTTGTAAACTGACTGACTTGCCTAAATTTAACAACAACAACAACTACTAATGTCAAAGTCAATATTATACTCACTCCACCCAAGTGTCTTCTAGGATCCCAACAAGCTCTGGCACCCGGTTCTCTCTGACATCATTAGTAAGGCACACTACGATGTCATTGTCACCTGATAGATGTATTATGATCAGTTGATCTCTGCCTGGGGTCACGCTGACTCCTGTCACCTGAGTGGAGTAAAGAATAATGAAAACAAATGAACAAATTAAACTTGGCACGACTCGATGTCATAGCTCAATTTTTATAGTAGGATTCTACTCTCTAAACACAAATACCAAACATCAACACCAACCGTGAAATCACCAATGTCCTTTGGTGATAAATTGATCTACATTTCCCACTCTCCATCCAGGGGGGGCGTTTCACAAGACTAAGATCGACTTTAAGTTGGACTCAAGTATGACAGGCTGTTCATGCCACTGTTTGCACTCACCATTTACTGGCATTTGTCTTTCAAGGGACGTACGAATCATAGTCACAAATCTACAGAATTTATATTTTTTGATAATTCGCTATCTAAAGATCATAATGAGGTGTAGTAGGAATTGATTCCTGTTTGCTTTGGGCCCCTTAGGACAGCCAGGCTAAAGCCAGGGTAATATTAGCAGGACATATTAGTACTTTGAAAGTGCCTTGTGCAGCCCCTGTAACGGATATACATGTAGGCCCAAAATGAATGTAGCTATTATCATGATATGATAATCTTTACCTCTGAAACAGGCGTCCCCGGTCTCATGAGTTTGAAGTTCTTCTTGGGATCCAGTTTGTAGATGAACCGATCAGTGACCACTAGTGTCCTCTCAGCAAACTTATTATGCTTGTTGACCTAGGCAAATAAAAGCAGGAAAGACAAGTTAAATTGTGAGTCACAAAAAAAAAACACCCTGATTTAATGTTCTAGTAGTCTAATCGATTTAGTCAATGATATTTGTTATTCAGCCTATCATGTTTATGTTTTCTTTAATCTTATATCTTGATGAACAGAATCTGGCTGTGGACACCTGAAAACAAGTATTTTCCTTGATAGGGGAGCGTTTATGGGCAGAGTAAGCGTCCTACAACCCAAGTAAGCCGGGAAAGGGGGGGGGGGGTCGATCTGCTATCTTTTATACTTATGCTTTTTCCTTCTCCTTCTCTCCATTCCACTGTTGTTGTGTGTCCGTGTGTATCTTTCCCTCTTTTCCTCTTTTTATTTATTGCTTTGCCCCTTAGTGGTGAGGGATTCATGTCTTCTTCTATGCTAATAATACTCTTTTCCTCCACCCCCCCCCCTCTCTCCCTCCCCCTCTCCCTCCCTCCCACTCTTCCTCTCCCACTCGATATCTTTCTACATCTTCTTTTTTCTCTCGACCCTTTTTTACGCTTTGATTGGCACTGTCCGTTTTCAATTGGACGGTTTTGTTTTCCTGTTTTTTTAATTTTTTTTTTAAATTTTCGATTTATGCCCCTCCACCTGGCACTATGCCTGGCAATGTCTCCCAGCTCAGTAATCAGTGTGTTGACTCACCACTCGGAAACTAAAACAACACTCCAATTTGTTTGTCATCTTGGTTTGAAAGTAATCTTTGTAAAAGATCTCAATATGTAGTTTATAATAATAATTCCTCCAATTGTTCTTCTATTACACACGGCGTACCTCAAGGTTCTATCCTAGGTCCTCTACTGTTTTTAATTTACATTAATGATCTTATACATTCTTCTAAAAAAGACATTGTTACTATTTGAGACAAGTTCACAAGCACAAATCGGTGCCTTCAACTGCACCTCGCAGTTAAATGAAAGTCCTTCCCGCGTTGATTTTTTAACACGGACCTGGCTTGCTGCCGACAGAGTCGGGCCCCCCCCCCCTAAAAAAAATAATTGTTTAACCGAAAACCGTCCGGTTTTGACTGGCGGTTAAACGGAATTGGAGATATCCATGATGTTACAGCACTACTCTGTATCCCCTCCCCTGCTGGTAGCTACAAGTATATCAGTGGATCTCATGAAGGTAATACAAGTAGTTTTTCACTCTATTTATCCCTTTTTACCATTTAATTGGCAATTAAGGGGTAATATCTGCCTTGTGCCTTATGCTACTGGGTGTAATGAAAGGAAATACCTTAAGGATCTTTGATGAGAAGAGAACGTTGCTGAACCTATCCTTGGTCTTGAGTTGTCCTATCATCGCTACATACACTGAAGACTGGAAGTTTTCATCCATCTGAGAAAGTGAAATGAGAAGTGTTAACACTAAAAATTGAAATGATTGTTATTAATGATTATTATTATCATTATTACTTTTGTTCGGCAAAGACAAAATTCAACCAAGCAGTGAATACATAAACAAATTTTATCGAATTTGAACTTTGTTAGTGATATACCTTTCTCATTAAAACATAAAAGAGCTCATTGAAGTTCACAGCTAATCATTTACAAGCAGACCTTTCATCTTTCACAGTTTGGCAAATGTCTAACATGACTATTAGGCTCACATAATTAGTGCATAGAGACATGCAATTATGCCTATGTGTTATGGGCTAGACTCTCAGCAGCCGAAAAACGTTTTGCATTAGCCGCATCTAAATTATATCTTTCTCTACCGCTACTGTTTTTCATCTACATTACTTTTTTTTTCCAGGAACCTATATTATACAAGCACTGCTTTTTAATAGGTTCCTCAGATTCTACTTTATCTATTATATGAATTGAGAATTATTGACATGTGCTCATTTATACTACAATTGTAATGTAGAATTTTTTATTTTATACATATGTTTATATTTTCTGTACAATGGGGAACATTAAACTTGAACTTGAAATTGAACTTGAAGACTTGGAAATCTTTTCATAAGGGAAATTACCTGTCTTGCCACCTTCAAAAGATTCCTTAAGATTTACCTTTTTCTCCAGTGATCTATTTGATCTACTTCCTGTGTACATTGTTTGTCCTCTTTCCATATATTTGTATTTGTAAGCGCTATGGTACTTATTATTTTAGAGCTCCTAAATATTTGATGTTATTATTATAGAAAAACGTTTATTTATTATCAATTATTATCATAATTACTACTTACAGACGACAGATAATCTCCTCTCCATCTTCTTTGATGACCCCAGTTTGACCTTCGACCTGACAGGGCTGACTGAGCGGCTGACTTTAGTCTGACCTCTGGCCATTCCTCACTGGGGATGTTCCTAAGGATCTGAGCAGCAATCCATCTACACCCAAATAATTTATAGTTTCATTCTTAAAACCAGTGGTAGTGATATTTGTTATATTATTCAGCAATAATGGTCATAAACTGACTGACTTGTCTAAATTAAACAACAACAACAACAACAACATATGAAATTGTGCATTAGGGTGAGTCATTTTCATTTCATTTTATTTCCTCCATTACCATGTTTGTTCATTTCAGTATATACATCTGGAGCCAACAAAAAGCAAGAGCTAGTCAAGGTCGGTCCCGTTCAATAAATTATGAAGAGTAATAACTGAATCAGTAAAGGGATCGTTTAACAATGTTAAATCTGAGATGCATGGCCCTACGTGTTATCAGTGTCTGTGATATGGTGTAATATTGAAGCCCTAAAAAAATTGCGCCTCAAAGTGTTCAAGAAATGCCTCAAAAAAGTAAAAATCTTTGAGTGACCGTTTTTACCATACTGGTTTTCCCCAATAGACCGTTCGGCAAACGCAAAATTTGGTTTTGCTTTCCAATCATAAATAATGTGATAATCAGACAGGTGATCAGCTTGTAAAAGTCATGGGTTTCCTGACTGACCTAAAGATTTATGATTATTACTGCAGCATGAGCTAAATCCAGAATTTTGTTTCAGAATTTGATACACAGTTATATATCGGATCCATTAAAGAATTATGTTTTTATATTGGAGTAAGGACATTTTGACATTTCTAGCCTACCGACGATACACATAATGGATGAAGTATTATTACAATGTGGTCATTACATGATATGGTCAGAAAGAAGACTTTATTCAATGGTCATAATGGGTAATTTTATATTTTGGGTGACATAGCTGGAAAGTGTTATATCTCTGTATGGAACAAAGAGTTGTCTAGCACATACAACAAGCAACAATTAGCAAAACTAAAGTGAAGTGTATCAATTATCACACCCCAAAAGAATTGTTCAAAGTGACTAATAATTAATATATGTATATGTATGTGATATGTACATAATAGAATTTTCTCATCCAGATAAGTTAATCTAGCTACCGGTAGTTACTTTTGCTTGCTTACAAATCATTAAATGGTCAAGCCCAAAATTACTTGTCTGAATTATTATCTCATAAATTACATCCATATGCACGCAACATGCGAAGTACACAGGACAAGCTGCTTCTAAAGCTACCTCACATAAAATCAAAAGTAACTCTTGGAGATTGTGATTTCAGTTATAATGCTCCAAAGCTTTGGAATAGCCAACCACTAGACATAAGAAAAGCCTCATCTGTTGCTGTCTTCAAGGTTTTATTGAAAACACAAAAAATCATTTTCAGGAGCTTTTCTTAAATTTTTTTTTTGTGTGTCTGTAAAAATGTAGCACTGTTAGGAGTTTAATTTCTTCATTACAGTGCCGTAGAGTATATATATATATATATATATATAGTATGGGCTTTATGTAAATTGATCTGATTTATTATTATAATTGTCTGTTTCTTCCTATGATCTAAAATAGCATTAAAGGTACTATGTCCCATTCGCAAGCCAAAAAAACAAAAAGGTTAAATTCCAACTGCATTTAAAAGAGCATTAGAACTTCCATCAAAAACAAAAGGGCTTGAAAATGGCTTTTAGTGGGAACATAACGACCATTAGTTGTCGAATGGACTTAAGTGATTGCAATCACCTAAATAATAGTCTGATTTTCGGAACTTAATCTAGAAAGAACTGGCTCACCTCCTATGACTCCTCTGCAGTAGTTTTGAGAGAGGCACCATCCACCTATGGGGCTTGGGCCATTCCAGACTCTTCCCATAATCCTTCCTTTGCTTGACCCTGCCGAACGTTGCCTTGACCTTGTTCAGGTAGGACCGTGGGACGTAGCGCTTGTACGCATTCATGATCACATAGATTGCTCTGATTTTCTTCACCCGCCATCTTGCTAGTGTCCCTCTCCAGAGCTTGAAAAATGAAGAATTCACAACTTTAATTTCTTAAAGGCTATATTCATCACTATCTATTTATTTGTCTATCAGGCTATAGTTCATCCAGATGTTCGGACAAAGCCCTCCTCATAACATTTCCATTCTCTTCTGTCTCTAGCTATCCCAGTCCAAGCGGCCGTTCCCATGTATGATGTTAGGTCATCTCTCCATCTTCTCTTCTGCCTTCCTCTTCTTTTTTTTCCCATCCTTGGTTGCCATTCTGTTAAACGATTTGCCCATCTATTGTCCTGAAGTCTTGCTACATGCCCAGCCCATCTCTACTTTGATTCTCTGACTTTCTTCATGTCTTTAACCTTTGTTTTCTGGCGTATGACTTTGTGATTGATTTTGTCTCGCAGAGATAAATGTGACATCTTTCATCACTATGATCTGCTTCAAAATGGCAACAAGTATTTTTATTCAACTTTTACGATCTCTGACATGTATAAAAATTTGCATACATGCACATGTCCCTCAGACACAATAAAGTATGGATGGACACTATTACGTTTCCCTGACCTTGACCTACACATGTATTATCCCCGACTTTGACATGTTATGCTATCATTCTGATCTCGGATTGTCATACCTTTTGTAGGAATGTTGCTAGCGCCGGAAGTAACCTGGTCCTAGCCTCCTCCAGCTGGACTATGGTCCTGGGGGTTCTGATAAAGATCTTGGTCTTGCCGTACTTGACATCGTGCTCTAGCTGGAGTTCCTGGACCAGAGTCTGGACCCCCAGCTTGTCGTCTCCCCCTCGGAAGTTGGGCCAGGTGTAGCCTGACAACATCTTGTACCTGACATCAATACGTGGGAAAATTAGAATTAGATTTTTAAAAGGAAATATGAATATCTTATAATAGTATGTATGAATACACAATTACAGTGAACAATACTGCTTATACAAATGCCCATGTAGGGCATTAACAAGTGACTGCATATAGTATTTGAAATGTATCAATACTCTAGTCACTGGATTGAGTCATACAAGCAATTATGTACTTTACAGTGCATATTGTCAAATGCACTCAGGAACATTCCAGCCAGGCACCATTTACAATGCTCATCAAAGCTCAATGACATTTGCATCCTACCAGGTACTCATCTAGCAACTGGGTGGATAGAAGCAATGCAGATAAAATGCCTTGCCTAAGGATGGAAGCGCCATGCTGAGGACCTTCTTTCTTTGATGAAATAAAGTGTTTTGGGACTACAAGTCTTGTTACCTATTACATCTGTTGTTTATCATTATCATCATTTCTTTTAAAGACATCTTTTAACAATGTTAAATCTGAGATGCATGGCCCTTTGAGTTATCAGTGTCTGTGATGTGGTGTAATATTGAAGCCCTAACAAAATTGCGCTTCAAAATGATCAGGAAGTGCCTCAAAAAAGTAAAAATCAGCTTTGAGTGACTGGTTTTACCATACACATTTCCCCCAATAGACTGTAGTGCTATAAAAATCGTTGGGAAAACGCAAAATTTGATTTCGATTTCCAATCATAAATATCTTGTAAAAGTCATGGGATTCCTGACTGACCTAAAGGTTTATAATTATGATTGCAGCACGAGCTAAATCCAGGATTTTGTTTCAGAATCTGAGGCAATGTTACCGAGTCACTTTAATATTGCCCATGTATCAAATTTTATTCACAACATCTTTATTAGGCAACAAATCATCCAAAATCATTGACAGAATGATCATTTACTGATTGAGTGCTTTTATAGGAAAGAGATCTTGCTTTAATACATATAGCTAGAGCCCTATCTAGGTGAATAGACAAATAAGATTTGATACCTGACCAAATGTACTAATTCATTGGCATTGTCTCAAATCAAATATATCCTGTTTTTTGGTCTCAAACCATATATATCCTGTTTTTATGACTACTGCTCCATCTGTTTATCTATTTAGCCAAACTAACTCCTCTGGTATGACCCTATTTGACATCACTGCCAGAAATGTACATTTCCTGTAAACATACACATTATATAATTATCTTCTATCTTTCTCTACCTCATAAGGCGAGCAGGGTATGATCGAATGCAGTGACACATATGAAATTCTGACATACTTTGAAAGTTATAAGGCCTATAAAAGTATTTGCAGTGACCTTTTATGTTTCATTGTGAACAGTATGCCTATCACTAAAGGTGGTGAAAACTGATAAAATTAGGTTATGATAGCTATCTTCTCAAAATCTATAAATTGTCCAATATGAGACATAATGATTGATAATAGATCAAATTACATACCGCCGCTAATATGTAACTATAATCTACTGAACTGTGACACATGCTTCTTTGAAGACTGATCTGCCATAATTTCCGACACTAAACAACTCCTAACTTCGACCCATGACCCAACATTACAGCTAACCCTGAACTTAAACCTAAACTGAATTGCACTCCTAACACTAACCCTATACTTTTGACATAATAAAGCCAGGGCACTTGTTTCGGGAGCAAAGGGCTCAGAAATAAGTGTGAACAGACCAATCGTCTTCATTGTTTTCCTATATACCTGAGTAGAAATCGTTGGTAGTGTTGCCTTGATGCAAAGCCTGCCCTCCTCACCCGGACGTTCTCTAGTAGTCCCAGATACCTTACTTGATGTAAGCATCTCAAGTCATCAAAAAGGAGCGGTGATTTCTCCTCATTTGGTTTGATGCATCGGACGTAGAAAGGCTCCTATAGAAAGGTTGAAATGTGGCGAATAATATCAAAAATGTTATAATTGCTAAATACTTGGGTTTGTATCTAAAAAGCTTAACCTTTATGTTAGGTTTTTGTGTAAATGTACTGTTAAAGTGCCTGTGGTTTCAGAGCCACACAAGCAGAATGATTTTTACGAGCAGAAACATGTTGCTATCTTTTTACATACATATCATGAATGCTCAATCACAGTGAACCATGATATATCCTTGTAACATTGTTCATGTCCACTATAATGTGATGCTTCTGATTTTCCAATATCATTATCCTGGTTATAGCTCAGCAGGTAAGCCAGTATCACATCAGAGATATAAATTCAAAACAAGCTAAACAAGGAAGATCATTATTACTAAATTCTTAGATAATTTACCCTCAAATAAAAAGAAAAAACAATCTGCTCACTGCCAAAGCTGAAAAATCTTATAATTGTCCTACTTTTTTTTTTATAAAGGCTTAATTGGGACACAACACTAACTTTTTTGTTGTTGATAGTAGGGTCTGCATAAACATGTGTCTGTATGCATGTGTCCCTTGTTAGAATTCTCTAATATTTAATTTAATTTATTTGCTTACTTATCTTTTATCATTATCATTTTTTTTTTTTTAATGGGGGGGGGGGGGGGTTCAGATGTTAAATTTGAGGAATCTTGAGTACAGGATCCATAATAGTGTTGGGCCATGACTTAATTCCCTTTTAACCATATGGATCTTAAGCTACCCCCTGACAAAGTAGAAAGAAGAAGAAGAGGAAGAAAAAAAGAAGAGAGCCCAATCCAGATAACATATAGTTTCCATACCTTTGATGCCAGGTTCTTAACTAGTTCTATCATGGAATTCTTGAAGACTGTGCCAGCAGTAGGAGGCCGTTTGGTTACCTGCATAATACAGAGAATAAAGAATATATGTCATTGATATAAAGGAAGACCCGGATAAAATAGAGAGAAAGAGAGAGAGAGAGAGAGAGAGAGAGAGAGAGAGAAAAAGACTAATATAAATGGTAGTGGAAGAAAAAAAAAGAGACATACAGAGATAAAGTAGACATTGATAGATGTAGTTATATAGAAAGATTGATAGACAGATAGATGGCTAGCAGATGGATATTTCTGCAAATGTGCCTTTTCAACTATTGATCTCAACTGGTAACATAGATTAAAACTAAACAGTGAGATGACAGTTTGCATTTGTGCTCTTCTGTTGCTCTCAAGATGACTTGACCATTCAAACGATGTATGTATGCATACATCTACATTGTAAGTCATTTATCTATCAAGTATTGTATAAAAATTATCACATGCTACATCTTAATCACATATGACATAAAGGCATGATGATAAACTTACCGCTGTGACCTTCTGCTGACCTTCAGGCCACATGGACGAGATAGTCGGGTTCTCACTGGAGAAAAGAAGACGTTTGAAGTCTTGGAAGAGAGTATCCTTGTTCTTGTCCATGAAGCCAGTCACATCATATCTATGCAGGATAGCATAGAAAACAATAAGGTCTGTTTACTTCAAACAGTTCCAAACATGATCAAAAGTAGACTATGTCCTCGTCCAAGCCATTTTGCCATCATTGAAAGCGGCCAAAGTTAAACTTAGCTCAGCTAGTTCACTAATATTTTGTTTTAATTGTTTAAAATGGAGGGTTATCAAATAGCACTTCAATATTGTGGATTTCATACAGTTTAGGATAGAGCATTCAGAGAAAAAGAAGCATTATGACGGTGGATGAAAGGGAAGTTTAAAATCACAATATTGTGCAGTTTACACAGGTATAAAGACAGATGAAAGTTGAATAGGATCCCTTGGAAGTGATCAACTATTTTGAAGGTTGAATTTCAAATTCCCTGTCTCACACCTTTTTTTTTTATTGTAGATTAAAATATTTTCAGATACAAATAGATAAAATTTGAAGAGTTCTTGGAGTAGCACCACAATTATTTGGAAGTTGGTGGAGAGGGTGAATTTACATGTCAATAACATTAGAGATCTATTATCCTTATTGTGGAAGGACTCTGATGATGGACCACATCTTGCAGTGCGGCAGAACGGGTTGCACAGATGAAGACCTGGTCTTTGTAAATGAGACGGCCATCGCAGCCATCGGGCGACGGAAGAACTTAATTTAATTTAATTTAATTAAGGAACTGTACATTTATCTTGATCTATGGAGACACGAACGAAGTGGATGACTTACGTGACATCACCAGCGTAATGCCTGATGATGAAGTTCTTGCCATGTTCTAGACTCTTCTCAGATGGTTGCAAAGCTCTACTTGTGTAGTGAGGATGGGAGGACAGTTTCTTGTTCATTGCATCCAAGAAAATCTGTAATAAATAATAATAATGATATTAAATATTTAGGAGCGCTAAATACAACAAGTACCATAGCGTTTACAAAGACCAATATATGATAAGAGGACAAAAAATGTACAGTCTCACAGGAAGTAGATCAAATAGATAAGTTTTGAGAGATCTTGAGGAGGAGTTTGGACAGGGATTGGAGATGACAGGAAGAATTGATTGCTCATCTGTCTGTTAAGTAGCAAAGTACACAAACAAGAATATGAATTCTGGCAAAATCTATGGTTGTTTTAAATCAACAGGTCATAAAATGGTTGGAATTGTTTACAAAGTATTACCCCATCAGTGATCTTTCCCACGTTGAGGCAGGCCTCGTCGAGGATGGCGATGACCCCTTTATGGTTCTCCTCTACCAGGTCACAGATGATGCAGTTATTGAAGTAGTCTATGTTGGTCCACTCGATGCCTTCCCGCTGGTACTCCTCCTGCTCTTGCTTCAGGACTAGCTCAATGAAGAGCTGCTGAAGCTTCTCGTTGCAGTAGTTGATACAGAATTGTTCAAAGCTGCATGATCAAGGGAAGTAACATAAACAGGAATTATAGAAATGAGTTTCTTGAATATTTGATTAACTGAAGATCAGCTAGAGTACAGACAATGCCCCTGTGGAAGTATTATAAGCACTAGAAAATTCAGCCCGTAAAACACTTCTGCTTTTGAGAAATTGAATAATCAAAAATTTACCGGTGTTCCAAGTAAATTTTAAATATTTTAAAGAGCGCCTAAGGCCATTCCATGATAGCTGCGACCATGACAATTTCAGAATATGCAGTTCTGATAAATAATCTCCGAACAGGAATAGCAAATCAGTCGATTGTAGTCAAGAAACATTGCTTTGAAGCTAAAGTAATATCAGTCTTGATGGGGAGCTATACAACATAAAGAGTTTATTATTTATAATTTCATTATTTTAGACTCAATTTCAACCGCGACAACGATTATTGGATATTGTCAAATTGCATATGCTCCCAATATGTTTGTTTGAACTGAATTCATGACCCCTTATATATTCATCTTTCATACAATGACTACCCTAAAAAGGTCTGTGGTGCTCAAATTATGTGGCAAAACAGAGAACGACCAGATGAGGATGAAATGCATTTTGATATATGCCTTACCTGTTATCATCAAATATTTCAAAGCCGTAGATATCCAGCACACCGATGACAGTTTCCTTCCCATGATCCTTCACTGTACCCTTGACTTCAATAGCGCTGTTTATCTTGCCGACGATCCAAGTGAAGAGACGTTCATACATGGCCTGCATGTACAAATACACAATTGCTATCATATATGAGAATGGCGCTGTCTATAAGTGCATATACAGTCAAACCTGCTTTAGTGACCACCTGTCTACAAAGACCACAATTTTTGTTTCCCTTGAAAATGGTTTCTCATTGAAACATGTTATAAAGACCCCCTGCCTATAAAGACCACTTTTCTTGTCTCCCTTGGGTGGTCTTTAAACTTTAAAAACAGGTTTCACTGTACAAGATTCAACTGCAAATGCTCAGGAGACACGACTGACAACACATTAACACGTACATGTATCTAGTCACAAGAAGTACTTTATGGTCCTTCTTCAAATCTTTCTCGAAAATAGGCTGTAGGAGCAGTCCAACATCACTGATAACATTGATGATAATTGCAATATATACATCTGTGAAATTGGTCTCCTAAGAAAATTGTCCTAAAGGCTCATCAGCATAAATCCATGAGCTGGGAATGCGACATGGTTATCCGATAAATTCTTCATGTACATTTGGAGACTGACTTTCTTCTCTTTAGTTATGATTAATATCATTATACATGAACATGATACAAAACAGGCCCTTAACATAGGATTGCAAGAAGCCAAAGCCAAAGACTTTCTTCAAGTAAATGGATTCCTAATGGGTCCCATACAACATATAACTTTTATTCATTTCCATGATTTTCATCAAAAGAATGGAATATGTCTTGAGATGAGCACTGACTACGGGTCGTGACACAAAAAAACCTATTTCACTCATCTTATCAAAGGATTTTAGATCTTAAATGAATTAAATGGATGAAAACCATTAGGACACATTGTACGATTTCAATCGCCCATCAATGGGCCAATTTATAGTGCATTTATTTCCTATATTTAAATAAATCAATTTAGTTCCGTACCTTGGCAAAGGCATCCCTTCCATGGTACGCCTGTTCCTTGGTGTGACCTTTATGAACGACCTCGGTTGACCCCGCGGCAACGACCCTGAAGCATAGCGCCTGAACTAGCTCATCCTTGCTGACCTTGAGAAGAGATGCAAGAGTCTTGATGGCGTCCTTGTTCCTGACCTTTGACCCTTCCTCCTTGTCGGAACTATCCTCAAAGTCGACCTCACCCTACAGGTAAAACAGAATGAACAATACAAGGGGCAATTCTACATTAATGAAATAATATTATTATTTTTTTTTTATATGCATATCAGTAACATTAGATTTAAAGGGATAGTTGAATTCTGTTTTCAGACCGCAAATGCCTTCAAAGTGCATGGTTATTGATCTTATTCTTATCTATGACATTTCTAGTGCCCTTTGAGGACCTAACATTGCTATGAAGGTAATTTTAGACCCCCAAATGTGTGAAATTTAGCCAATATGATCATACCAATTCAGCTCCACTTTCAAAAAAACATGGTGACCGTTAATTAATTATTAATTAAAAATAACAATACATGAGCCGGCTAATTGTGGGTAATATAAGCAACACAAAAATGCCAACAAAAAAGCCAACATCGGCATTGGCTGAAATACGACGTAAAAGTGGTGGTACACAAGTATTAGAAATCGTTATATTTCAGCCGTCTCTGAACCGATTTTGACCAAACAAAGATGATTTTGTCATTTAAATATTATGTTCTTTCAAATTTGACACTCATTTTTTCATTATCTCATAAAAAAAAATATATTGTGTAGCGCCCTCTGCAACAGAACTCAACTATGCCTTTAAACCTAGAAGATTGAATGCATTAAAAAGTCGCGACATAATATGCTCATGAAAGTTTTATCTTCAACTCATGAAAGACGTCTTTTTCCCCCACATCAAATAGGAAAATATCTTTCACTGAGCTAAAATGTTGATCCCTCATGGTTTCTTGAGCAGCCTTATTAACACAGTCATCCTCCCATAATTCTATGACCATGTTCGGTTACATTTTCCCCTGTTGTAGGACACACACTCCTCCAACAATTGCTCTGCAGTCAATATCCTCAGTACTCCAAATGTACTCATAACTTCAACTCTAAACCCAACAGATAACTTAACTGCAATCCTAACTGACCTACATCATTGAAAAAAAAACAAGAATGAGCAATTGTCACCACAGCAAATGTTGGTGCTCCTAACGCCCCTCAATAGCTGGAACCATGCTTCGCCACAGACTGTAAGAGTGAACTTACCAGATGCATGATGGCAGCTACCATGGTCCAAACAGTCTTCTGTTCCTCAGGAGTGAAACCTAGATCCCTCATTGCTTCTTGCGCTGCCTTGTAGTCTCTCCTGTCATGTCCTACTTGTGAACCCTAGACAAACAAATGCATACATGCATGTATGTAAGATTTCACTTTTGCTATTAAAATGATATCATTGATTTGTATAAACTATAGGGATTTACATACTCAAAAAAAATAACTGCTGTAGTCCATATACATTTTTTGGATGGAAAGGAAGGGGGCGGGGAGAGATGGAACAATTTAATGAAAAAATACACAATAAGGCGCTGTTCAGATATCATACTGGACTTAGCATATTTTGCTGTAAATTGACAAGTACTTTGTCCACACACCATTTCTGCATTTCATGGCACTCCTTGTAGCTACTCGCCTCACCTACCATCCCAGTATAGCTTCCTGAGTGAGCTACCAAAGGGATTACTCCACCAAGTACCCAGATGAAAAACCATGGCATTTTTTATGACGATGTCAGGTGTATAATACGCTTCATAATCCTGTATCTCATAACAGGGAATCAGTAAATCGTATGATCAGTAAATGTCCACAGTTGCCATTCATTTTACACGTTTAACAAAAATGTGCCCTGTTGATAGTGGAAGTTTACTGGGTCATATCAGAATGAGCCTTCAAGGAGGCATATGTTTTGCAGTGCACTTAAAAACATAGGCAAAATGGGTTTCAAAAGGGAGTGTAACCCCCTGCAACAGGTCCACATTCCCCAAAGTTTCATACTAAAACATAGCTATTGTGAGCTGAATCAATTTAATGCTGTATGTTGTCTTTTTATTATTACAATAACAGTGTATCATATTTTTTTCCAGTAAGGGCTTTAGTAACCATTCTAGACAACATCTACACCTTTTGGGGGAAAAAGCTGAGGAAATAAAAAATACCTCACTTTAGCTTTGGACAATTTGAAAGGCCAACAGCAATGACAGAGTTGTTGAATGGAAATGGCAGTATAAGCTTTTGGACATCACAAAGCATGTTAACAAAGAGACATTTCTGCGATTTCAAATATGCTAAAAATTACTGCACTATAAACAGATGATTTTGTACTACAGATTTCCTACAACTGTGTGCTGATGGACAAATACAAAAATAGATGGATAGAGAAGGTACAACAATTTCTGATGATATGCTACAATGATGTAAAAAGTGATTGGAAACAAATTTTGCCGAAAAAAAGGGTTGCGCAAAGGACCTTTTTACTCCAGAACACATTCTAGAAAAAAGAACAGTTATTACAACAAAATCTAAGCAGGATATCTCTGAACATGGCGCAGTGGACTTGGTTTGATACTGATAGAAGATCTTGCACTACAAAACCTGCAAAGCTTTTCAGAGTGATCCAGTAACAAGCAAAGGGAGCCGAAATGCTCAAAGTTTAATGAAAACAATACTACTACTACTACTAACAGCATTTAACATGTATGGCAATGGGAACGAGATCATCTTTACAAAAATATGTGTGTAGCTTGTCTGTTCGTTTGGCTTTTGTATGTTTTTGTTTATTTTAATATGGCCTGTAGGGGGAAAACATATGAAGAAATGAACATTTCAAAAACTCTGTGGAATGTGCTTGATGGAAATAAAGTTTGCATGAACTTATAAACTTTGGGGAAATCTTATTAATTTGCCAAAATACTACAAATATTCAAAAATGAATATTTCTGTGAATGGCATTAAAGATTTGAGAATGATATCCATTTAATAAAAACAATATTTCTATGTGAAGAATAACCTTTTTCGCCTCAAAATCCTTTATTTTAGACATATTTTGAAAGCAAAATGCAATAGATGTTGGAAGTGGATAGAATATTGCTATGTAAAAAAGGAAAGAAGAGGTGAAATTGCAGCATATGACATACTTCATGTCGGGGTCAAGTATAGGAGCTTTATGTACATATCTGTTGCAACATGTACATGTAGATGTGTAATGTAGTAAACACACTAGATATAGAAATAGACTACAAAACAAAGCAATATCTAGAACAGTATGTTACAAGTGGAAGGCAGAAAGACTATTCTTTACAGAAAAGGTGATGATAATACTAAGTTACATACTTTTGCCTCAGGTAGCTCTCTCTGTTGGCAAGAAATAATCATAATATACAACGGATAAAGATGAAAGTATGAAGTCAGGTCACACAATGATACTTGTACCGTTATTACATAATAATAACAATTAACAACGCCATTTCAATATCTTATAATATTAATTGATGCTAAACACAAATGATGTGAAGATTGCAGGGATGAGATAAATTCCCCCCAAAAGAGAAAGATTAAATGGGGATTCGGGGGCAACGCCCCTTGAGGGGGGGGGGGGGGTAATAGGAGAAATTTGAGAAATATTTGTTACCCCATCTTGTTTAAAGGAACTCTATAATATTGTTTAGACGAGAGATTTTTTTTAAAAAATTTCGCTGTTTTTTCTTCTCTGTCTCGAACTCTCAAAATCGTCCCTGAGATTGATTGATGATACAGAATATGAAGGTAAGTAAATTTTGTTAGTAGGAAATTTGGACAGATATGATTGATGTTAACTTGATATCAATGCATGATCAATTACCCTTAGGTTTCTATTTCCCTGTACAATCAAAGGCATTGTTAGGAAAACAGAAATAAGGTCTGTTTTCTAACTTTGAAACATTAAATATTATTCCAAGAACAACTTTATCAAGTTTTGTTCCTATTCATTCAGATTCAGGGTAAGAGTTAGGATTAGGGTCAGGATTACAGTCAATAAACCATTAGAGTTAGGGTTAGGACTACGGTCAATATTCAGGACAGTATAAGGGTTAGCGTTGGGGCTAGATAAACCATTTAAAGTCACTAGTGTGGTGGGATATTCTGCAGTTTTGACTTACTGTAGCGCCATTTCCTTGGTTGATATAGAAGAAGGCTTTGGGATCTCTCTTTAACTTGAATTCCTTGAGAATCTGTTCTGTGCATCCTACTAAGAGCTGATAGAAAGAATGGAAATTCCTCTCTCCTTTCTGCTGGTGTATAACTCTTGACTGGAACAAATAACAAAAGAAAAAGGAAAAAACAACATTACAAATGCAATTAATCTTTGAAATACTAGACAAACAAATATTAACAATCTAAACCTCCTTTTAACAGTGATAACTGAAAGTGTGATTAATTGAATGTGGAGGGCAATCCAGATAGAATTTATTATATCATCTTTTGACAGCCAGAAGTGTGTCAAGTCTGTGTAAAATTTTTGACCTTCTGGCTCTGCAGTTGATATATATTTTGTTCTTCTATTTTGTTTCTTTTTTTATCTAAGTAGTTATCTTTTCTTTGGGAGAGGGTGTTTCCTACACTTCTACCTTGCCTAATTTTGTTTTCATTATGCGTGGTAGCTAGACTACATTAATAGTGCAACACACCCTAAGCAATAACTACTCTGCAGTCAAGCTTAAGACCCTCAATATACCAGGACTTGACAATCTAATACCCTAACCCTAATTGTAAAGTTGACCTAAAAATGAAATCACAACCCAGGCTCTAATCCTCTTATTAAATAACCCTGGATCAATTTTTCATTTCAAAGCAAATGTCAGATCACTAGGCTAATAATCTACATGGGTATAGTTTGTTTGGAGCCAGAAGGGCGTTAACTCATATGTTTAACACAGAGTTAACACCCTTCTGGCTCTGAACAGAGAACATGTCACTGAACTATTGATGGGATATTCACTCTGATTGGTTGATTTATTTTTTGATTGATTGATTGATTGAATGAGGTTTTTATTATCCAAATGTTCAAATACATCAATATACCAATAATAACAATAATAAATGCATGTTTGACAAAGATCTTGAATGGATAAAAGGGACCAGAAAATAGCATAAATTGCTAATCATGTCTGGTACCTTTAAAATACAGTATCTTATCAAATGAAAAATGTATATATATATATATATATGAATAATTATTGAAGACAGGTATACACTAAAGCTACTAGGGTTCCGACGAGTAGTCGAATGCCGAGTACCCGCACTGTTGACAACTACGATTTTTCGTACTCGAATATTCGGCCGCCCCCCCCCCCCCAAAAAAAAAAAAAAAAAAAAAATAAACATGGCATCTGAATATTCGCTGCGGCCTGGGAGTGTACTCGGGTATTCCATTACACGGTTGTGCACAGCCTTAAAAGCTACATGCTATTCTACGTAGCTAAGACAATACATGTTTGTGTGTTTAAATACAAAGCCTAAACTTGTATAAATAGGCATTCCTAATAAAATGAAATAAAAATGTATCATACACTGTCTGAAAATATAGAATATATTATCTAATAAAGGGCAAGAACCTTGGTTAAAAGGTAGCACAAATGTTGATAGAATTTTTATGTTTAAAACATAAAAATTCTATCAACATTTGTGCTGTATTACTATGAAAACAAGAAACTTAAGCTTTTTTCTCGGATCTGTGAGTGATATAAAATCTACTGGTAGTGTCAAGTATAATATGCATCCTGCTCTTCGGATTCCTAACTGTTTTGAAGGCTTAAAAGGTAATACAAAGTTTTGGTATGGGGTCATGAATTTGGTTTAAATTAACATATTAAAAGCATATGCGATCCTACAATATTCAGTGATCATTGTCGCGGTTGAAATCGAGTATAAAGTTATGAAATTGTAAATAATAAACTCTTTATGTTGTATAGCTCCCTCTTAAGGTCAAGAAAATAATTAAGCTATAAAACAATGTTTCTTGACTAAAATAGACCAATTGATTATTCCCTTTTGGAAATTATGTATCACAACTACATATTCTGAAATTGCCATGGTCGCAGCTACTATTGTATGGCCGTAGGTGCTATTTGTAATCCATCAAAATTTACCGGGAGCACCGGTAAAAATTTATATTCCATATTCCTCGAAAGCAGAAGCGTTTTAGGGGCTAAATTTTCTAGTGCTTATAATACATCCACAGGGGCATCCAAATATATCAAAATTGTGAAGAATCACTATCCAGCCAATTTTCAATATTTCCCAAAACTTTGTATTACCTTTAAGAATAAGAGAGAGAGAGAGAGACAAAGACAGAGACAGAGATAGAAAGAGAGAGAGAGAGAGAGAGAGAGAGAAAGAGGAGGAAGGATGGGGGGGGGGGATGATGCATACAAAGGTTTGTGCTCTTCTGGGGTGAAAGATCTCATAAATTAAATAGATTTGACAGCTGATATATTATAGTATTTTAAATGAAGTATAGTTACCAAATATAATTTCTATTGTCTCAGCTATTATTTTTCCTCATTGAAAAGTAAGGTTTTTGTTATTGTTTTAAAAAGTCTTCCCAATTAAAGCTTGGTACCTGTACATGATACATGTACATGGGTGTCGATCCGTAACTGATACCTATTCATCAGGGGGGGATGATCTATTCATTCATCCCCCCTGATGAATAGGTATTACGTAAGTATCGACACCCATGTACATGTACAACTTCAACTGGTACGTCATATTTCCAAGAAAATGGCTGCACCCATGTCATGCTGAAAGGCATCACATCTTGCCAAGAATATCTTTGTTATATACATTGTACATTGTACATCAAAGAGCAGGAATACATCTCATTTTATTCTTTGTGGTGAGGTTTCCTTGCCATTGTAGCTTCAAACAAACAGTGTATCAGATGACTAGACTATGTGATTCAAGTGGGAATTTAATATTACCTCATCACTTCCCTTTCCTATTGAAAAACATTATAACCATAATATAATAATAATAAAAACAGTACTCATAAAGCGCTTACCATCACACTGTAATGGTGTCAAACTTCCTTCAAAAAGGAAGCAAAGTCTCTACCTTTTATGGTTTTGTCTGGAGTCACAAAATATCATCAGAACAATGAATGTCAAATAAAATATGACCCAGCAAAATGTACAGTTGAAAGTGAGATAGATTGGTGTAAATGTTTATGTTAATATAAATAATCAGTTTGCTTTCAAGTTTTCTTCACACGATCAGGATGGACAGAATATTAAACTTGCAAAATTTTACATCATTTTTGTAGAGAAACTATGATCGGTTCAATTCTTGGTGGGAAATCCAATCTCATATCAATTCTTTGATTTGAAATAGGAAAAATGAAAATTAATGTATGTTGAAATGAGCTGATTCGAGCTAGCAGTTTTCTATCCATCTACTGAAATAACGTTGACTGGGGATATTATGAATAGACAGAATTCCATCTCAAACCTATACACGGGTGCAATGTGTAAATCTGTGGAAAACACTTTAAAGGTAAAGACCAGTTTTGAAAACGCCCCCCTCTCAAAAAATGAAATGGAAGCTCTTATTACCAATCATGTGAAAGAATATATTTTGACTAATACGTGTTGATACAAATTTTGCAGGGAAACCGCCTACTACTTGATATATTTGGTAAATTATTATATCTCTCCGGACCGGATAGATATCGTGCACGAGTCGCGTAGTCCCATATCCATCTTTCTGTGTTCAGTGCTTGTAACTTTACCAAGACTGGGCCAAATTTGTTATCATTTCGATGATTCCAGAACCTTGCAGTACACACCAATACTTATATGCTAGATGTTCAACCTTTTCTGATCGATTCCACAATGTTTCTTTCACAATGCAATCGCATGACCAGAACTGGTCTTTACCTTTAAAGAAATGATTTCTAAATTGAGGGTTTATCATGAAGCGGATCCATTTTTTGTAGAAGCTTGTCCTTCTATCCCTTTAGTAGATTTCCCATGGCACTCCCCACTTCCTAGGGTATGACATGCTGTAAGAGTTGGACTTGGATAGAAGGAAGCGATTGGGAGGGGATACAGACATTAATGTATCTACATGTATGTAAACCTGATTTAGATGAACTCATGCAAGGAGTGTTCAGAACATTTCTTTCTTCAAAATACACACTTGAATCCTCTTTTCTTGCAAGGGCATGCAGTTCCACTGTATTTTGCTGTTGGTCCATTTCCCCCTGTTGCCTAGCCTATCAAGGACCCTCTGATAAAGAGGGGGTGGGGTGAGGGGGGGGGGGTTACGTCATGTCTACATGGTGTTGACAAGCAAAAAAGAAACTTGTTTGTACCAAATATCAAAAGAAGTAGGGGGGGGGGGGGGCTCATCTGCACATACATTGTATATGTGAACAAATTTAGATTGTAGACTGGACCGAACGTTCACATGAACACAGCCTTAACCCTCATTTTACCTGAGAATGTAAGTAGGGGGTTGGGGCCTTTTCTCTGTAAATAAATCTACATTTTATTGGCTTAACAAAATAAATGCAGATATTCATAGAACTTTGTTAGGGGTAGGGGAACAGATTTGTCCTATAGAGGAATTTTGATAAATGTAGTCTCAAATTCATTGAGTGCAAAAGGGGGTAGGGGCCTTTAACACTTTAGTTGCTTTCCTTGCCTCTCTGCATGGCTGCTCGTTTGCAACATGTGCACTTTTGCACAAAATAATACGGCCTTGGCACCAGTTTCGTATATGTTGTACAGGACATTAACTTAAGCTATGGTCACAAATCAGAGCAGCGACCGACCGATCAGTAGCCTGCTCGGTTGCTGCTGGAATGTAGGCATCGCCCAGCGATTAGGTCGGTGCCCGGACAGCGACCGCCCAGCTAGGCACCGAGCGTATTTTGGGCAGCGAGTGAAAAGTGAGCAGGTGCCGCCCAAATTTTAACTCCGCGCTAAACTTCAGCGGCGAACGAGCGATGCCTTAAACACGAGCGGTGTCTGGGCGGCCGCCGCTTGGTGGCCGGGCAGAATTGGTTAAAACCTCACCGCTCGGCCGCCGAGCAGGCTACTTTTGGGTAATGTGACCATAGCATTAATTAGACAACATTTTCTAGCCTTTAAAGAAAATTAATCAGCAGTGAATACTTGGTAAATGGTTAGAGTAAAGTACTACCAGGGGTAGCAAGCAACTATCAAAGGGGGAAGTCCACCTTGATATTAAGTGGAATTTAATAAAAGCAGAAAAACAAGAAAAACAGGTCAGTGAAAGTTGGAGC